TTTCATGGTTGCATCAACGATGTGTACATCATCTTAAACTTCTTTCCAAGTTTCATTTTGATCGCAATATGTTTTAAATTAAAATTGCGTGCAAATAAATTTTCTTCTGAATGCACCCTTGAAACTAATTTAGCTGCATTGTATTAATTGAATGCTATTGATTTCTCAGTATTACCCAATTTAACTATGCTCGCTTCGTGTACAAATGTTTTTTAAAGCATATAAAAAACATAAAGAATTTTGAAAAAGTGGCAGGAAATAAAGTTTCGGGAAAAATTACAACACTTAAAACTCTTTGCATTTCAGAAAACTTTTTTTCGTTGATAATTTTTTAAAACACAAGCCAAATTAGAAAAAAAGTTTAAAAAGTGTTTTTTATTCCGCCGGAAAATATTTTTAAAAAGTTTAATTTCAAAAGACAACTCTTTTGCATCTTTTTCCGACACTAGCTTTTCTGTTATTATAAAGCATAAAATGCGCTTGAAATTACCATAAAAAACTAAAAGTCAAAGTTCAAATTAAAAACAAAGTTGAGCTTGAACAATTTCTAGCATTTTTGCCTGAAAACAAATCAAACTAAAACCTCACGCCTAATTATTTAATTGCTCTTGTGTTAAGCAAAGGTAATGCAACCGGGTACTAGATGTTTTTCCCGTAAATAACTTCAGGCATAGGACGGTCAAATTTGTAGGAATGGAAAACTTCATACATGCTCAATTTCTTGAAAGTTGAAACAAAAATACCTCAATTTAGGTAGTAAGCAGGCGTTATATCCGTTTCTTTTGTTACTTTTTTCAAAGATTGTCTTGATAAAACGTTGATTTTTTTCGGATTCGTGGTTTTTCGGCCTAGTTTCCGTTGTTTCATTTCCCTTTTCATAAAGGAAATTTATTTTATTTGGCACTGTTTTTTTTTTCAGTTGTTTAGTTAGGCATGAATTTTAGTTTGAAATTTAAATTTTATAACTCTCGTTAAAATTTTGTAACTTTTTATTTAACCTTGTCTGATTTTTATTAATTTTATCAAGTCTGATTTTTAGTAACTTTATTATTTATACAGTTTTTATTCAACTAAACGGTTTCGGCTTATGTTTTAAGGCATTATGAATTTTTGGCGTAGTTTTGAGGGCAAAACTTTCGGTTTGAAAAATTTTGGTTTTATTACACTTTCGAGAGCTATTTGGTTTTATTACTTTTGATAAGTAAACAATGTACACTTTTTCTTACACGTCTTAACTTTTCTTCAACTTGCTTTTTTATTGAACCTTCACAAACTCCAGGTTCCCTCCAACTTGGCCCAGAATTATCAAACGCCTTCGCCTTTTTATCTTAAGGTCTGGGGTTTGATTCTCGGCCTGACCTTGTTTTTTTTTCAGTATATATGCAATTGAAATAAAAAATTTCCGTAAAAATGATTCGTTGGACTTCCGTTCTTCTGCTACAATTTTTTTAAACTTTGTTGCCATATCGCACATCTTGTTTGTCCTAAAAGCAACTTTTACTACAAGTGAAAACGTTGTTCCTTGTAGGTTCAGGTAGGTGGACTTTAAACTAAAAAAAAAATTTAAATCATTTTTTTTGGCTCAACAGGTGTCTCCTCAAATATTGTCGGCTAAATTGCCATATCACTAATTTTTCTTTTCTTGTGCTGTAGACGTTTTCCCTTGTAGCTGCAATCATTGTTCATTCTAGTCTCAGGTGGGACTTAAAACTGTAAGGATTTTTCCTGGAATCTTATTTTTAATTTTTTCTGCCCAAATTGTCTCTGCTCAAAGATTGTCGGCTGGCTTTGTTTCTTCTTCGTAAGTTTTGTTCCCTTGCTATTTTATTAATTGAATTTCTAAAATGTTAGCCTGACCTTCTATTGACACATTCGAACGTTTAATTTTTGTTACAATTAGATTTTTCCACGTTTTCGATTTTCTCGAAAAAAAAATTGTGCTTATGAATAATCGCAAGAGGTGCGAAACTCCACTTAGCCTCTGTGTTGTTAAATTGTCGATGAACTGAGAGAAACCAAGAAAATCTGATCCACTGGCATTAAAAATTTTTCATTTTCGAACTTGTTTTTCATTTTCACTGGTTTTTTATGATTGAGAGTTTTATCATAAAAATGACCGAAATCACAAAAAATTGTGTTTTGTTTTGTTTGCTAAGTCTCAAAATGAAAGTCTGCTTCCTAAGTTGAAGAGCACAATGTAACTTTCAATTAGCGAGTAAATTAAAACTTCCCTTAAAAAGCAATCAACGTCCATCAACTTCGACTAAGAAATCCAAAGTAATTTTGTTTCTTAAACAAACACAAAACCCTACTTTATTAAAGAGGTTACAAAAAACGATCTGAAAACTATCTGGAGTTACCTGAGAAAATCGCTTACTGTGTATTTGAATCTAATCAGGAATACAAACTTTTCAGGCTATTTTGTTGTTTTGATTTTTCTCATGAGCTCAACTTTTCCAGTTTTTCCGATTGATTTTAAATTAAACCTTTTAAAACAGAAAATTTTGTTCTGATACAAAAAAAATAAAAGTTAGGGGGAAATTTTTCAAAAGAAAAAATTCAAATTTTGAAATTGGATTTAGATTGGATAGCAAACAAATTGAATCACAAAAGCAACACTAATCGGACAGCATTCCAATTACAACAAAGCTCGGGTTTTAAGTACTCCGGCCCTCGGTTTCAATAAAATTTTTGAGTTTGAAATATTCTGTTTCCAATTCATCAACAGATATTATTCAAAGACGAGCGCTATTTATTGATGCAACTCAGGTTACGTGATTGGTCTATTGGAAATTGTCAATTACAACATTGTCAAAACAGCTATTAAACACAAGCATCAGTGTTTTTTCGGCATTAACAGCATTATTGAAAATTACAGACAAAATTATGCCAAAAAGGTTGAATAAAATAACAACAATTTTTGAGTTAAATTAAATTCAGTTTGACGGTCAGCTGAACAAATTCGTAATTCAAAAAGATTTCTTGAGTTGCATGATAAATTCTTTCTGCGTTGAAGAAAAAGCAAAAAACAAATCTTATTATGTATATTTTGTAGAAAAAAAGTTTTTGCAAAAACAATTGCTCTTTTTTTTCGTCAATTTTTTTTAAGATCATTGTCAAAGTTATTTGCAGGAGATTTTCTTAAAACACATTTGTGAATTAGTGCCCATATACTCTATTTACTTTAAAATGAAAAAAAGAATGAAAAAAACACATTACACTGAAAGGCAGCCAATCATTGCACAAGCATTTAAGATTAACAAGTCGACAAAAAGTCTCAAAAAATACCATGACTTTCATAAGTTTTCGCTATTCGGCTTCCATGGAGACAGATTTAAGTAAAACAACTGAGACCGTTTCTAGCGTTGAATTAATAGCGAAAAAAAATTACAAAGGAGTAAATAAGCTGATAAAACTTGGGCAGGCTGCCGTTGTACTTAAAAAAAATGCGTGCCGTTGTACCCAAAAAAAAGTTTTTGAACCATCCCCTTTTAAACACACTCATGATCAGAAATAGTATTTTTGTTGCCAATAAAACGACTCATGTGAGGCTCTTTAGCCAATAAAGCATTGACAGAAACAATTTAGGCCGAATAAAGCAAAAATGTGAAAAAAAAAATGAAAGAACATACAAATCAGATTGGGTAAATTTATTATATAAAAAGATAGCCGGTTTGTGTGCTAGTAGCACAGAAAATTCCGAAAACAAAAAACGTATAGATTTTTTTTGCAAATTGCGGTTTTTTCGTCATTTAGTTTGAACATTCAAAAGCTTCAAAAACTAATATTACTGGAGTAAAACCAAATTTGTAAGTCCTATTTTTGTATTATAGATCTGCTCGCTCGCTTCATTTTCCAGAAAAAGTTAATAAATTGAACTAATTTTAAGAAATTGCAAACATCCATCATCATTAATTTTGTCCCTGCTTAAACTAGTAGTATACCGGGTGTTTCGGATGCGCTTTTCCCCAATAATTCTTTTCGGAGTTTCAAGCAGAAAGACAGAACTCAATTCAAGTTGATGTGCCACTTGTATGTATTTGTTTGAATTTTTTCAAGCTGTCGGACGACGTGAAACTTCAAAAGACGCGTTTGGGTTAGAAACCACGTTTTTTTTACACTGGTTTTGGCAAAAAATAACTATTGAAAAACAAGAATTTGAACGGTTTTAAGAAAACAAAAAAATAGAATTAACCCAAATAGATTTTCTCAAGAATTTGTATACATATTTTATTATAGATGACGAATCCCGATTCAAAAATGCCTTTGAGTCTGAAATCACGAGTTAAGACTTTTAAGACTGAAAAGACTTCAATACGAACGTATAGTGGAATTTAAAAAGACACAGAACATAATAAATTTGAAGACTGTGACATCAATAACTTCTTTGATAATTAAATTTGAGTTTTCTTTTTGATTTTTATCTAATGAACTTCTTACGTGTATTGCTTTCGTTAAAGAATGTTTCAAAAAAGTTCTCAAAAGAGTGCTTCCATTTTTTGAGCAGTTATAATTTAATAATTTGACCACAAAGATTTTTGTTGCAGTATGAGCAAAAGTTTACTTCTGCGGAACATGGATGGATATATGATTTGTGCGAGGTGGAGGAGGGCTTTTTCAAATTTTTGTCAATAGTTTTCAGAATGACATAATTGATGTTCTCGGACTGAAACTCAACAAAGACCCTGGCACCCTTACAAAGCTTGTGCTGCAGGCAAAATTTTGACAAAAAAGTTGTTTTTGGACAGTTGAATCAAATAAAATTTGCCATTTTTGACGCACCCACCATCAACGACGAATTGTCCGAAATTTAATATCACAAAAAGTACATACAGGAACCATTTAACTGGCGAAGGGTTTGAATTACTTGGTTTTCTCATTTTTCGATCGAAAACTGAGTATATATTTTTTAGTAGACATGATTGAAGGATGCGGAAATCAAACTAAGTCACCTGTCGTCACCTTTGTTCATAGTTGACGAGATGGAATAGTTTACTCACTGATTTTGGGTGTGCTCCTGGATTTGTGAGCCAGATGGGAGCCAGATTCTTCAGGGTCTCCACATACTGCGAGTGGCTTTCCGGGTCAAATATGACGTCATCAGCTAGGGACAAGAAAGGCTGCTTAATGTCATCACCTCTCAGTTGATCTGCCAGGTAGTTTGTTCTCATGTTTCCGGACTTCACACTCTTATCGTCACCAGCCACAGACCGCACATTTTCCATTGAGCTTCCTGGATAACAGCGGGACGTATTTTTGTTCACATATTTACTACTGCTTTTGAAATTAGCGCCGATTAGACTGATATTAGACACATCTCGTGTGGTAGCTAAAGATCCTAATGATTTGTGAATCGGTTTAATTACTAATCCGTTTTTAGGTGGTAATTTTTCCTCATTTTTCCGCTTCACCGTTGACGAATAATGGTAGTATTTAGGTAACGCGTCTAGTTCATGTTGCAATTCAGCATTTCGTTTGTAATTTTTCAAAATTGGGCTCGAATAATTGATACTCGGAAGCCTTCGCTGCGAGCTATCACACTCGCTGAAAAGATCTAGGGCATCATATAGTAATTGAGTTCCTGCTTCTTGCGACTTATTGTTCTGCATTTCAGACAAAAAGGGTCAATTTTTTTTGGTGAATGTCGAAGTTTCTTAGCCGTTGCAAGTGTGTTGGCGGTAAAAAAATAGGTAAAGGGTCGCAAATAGGGCAGTGGGCTATTTTGTAGCGGGGAAAAAGTGCAAAGCTCTGTCTTTTATGGACAAGCGTCCAAACGGTCCGGAATGAAAGTTGACAGGGTGAATTTAAAATTACACCAAAGCTACGTTGGAGAGGATTAAAAGTAAATTCCACTTAATGAGGACAAAGTAGTGAATGTGCCGCTTTGCAGTTTCTGCGTACGTCACAGTAAATATTATTTCAAAGCCAAGTTGACCCGAGGCCCAAAAAACTCTTTCTCAAAATTTCAATGAGTAGAGTTAGATCACGGACCTTCAAAGTGTGAAAACATTTTGTCCTTAGCCCGCAATGAAGTTGGAATTTTTGGCCGTGGAGTGAAATAGGCTTGACTGATTTCATAGTTTATGGTAACAAAACTGCAAAATCTGCATTCGTAAAAACTTGCAGTTCTAAAAACTGCTTTAATGACCGGGTTTCTGTTTACGTAGAAATTGATTTACCTTCACACGTATATTATAAAGCTTTTGCCAATTTAACAGAACTAGATTTGTTAAAAGTAGAAACTTACTCCCATCGTCTAAAAATAGCTGGTAGCTCAAAGCGCCGCCGTAAGGTTAACATATGAAGCACAGTTCTTCAAATGTTGTTTGTTTGTTTATTTCCACAAAGAGAGGTCATGAAAGAAAATGAAACAAACTACTACTTACCTAGAATGTCCGTTTCTTGCAGTCCTTCCATGAAAACTTGTGAAGGTTCAAATTCGAAAACAAACGACCCATTATGGTTTTGGGATGGATTTTTGGTCTGCTCGAAAGATTTGAAGTTAGCGCCATTGTTCCGCTTCGCTTCCGGCTTCCGCGGCATAATTTTTGGCTCCATTTTCTGGAACTTCCAGTTGGTCTCGGACGTTTGACGTTGACCAGCAAAACCGCTACTTTTGGAATTAATATCACTCGCCGCGTATTTGTTATTGGAATGTAACAAAGATCTTGAAGGTTCAAAGCCGTCTGAATTTGATTTTAATTTTGTACCAGTTTTACCAGATTTATACGCAGGGTCTTTCTGTCTCCGCAAAGCATTTGGAATATTAGTCTGCAGAAAATCGAATTTATTTGTAAGCCAATCCATTGATTGAGGACTCCCGTCATAAAAAGAATGGATTCTAGATTCTAATAAATCCCGCTCCCCTCTTGAACTGTGAAAATTATTCGAATTCACCTGATGATTTGAGGATCTGTGGGAGGAAGAATGAGCACTGAAGTTACTGTTAGGACTCGTGAGCAGTGAAGTTGAACTGATTCCCGACAGCGACGAATGAGGTGAACTTCGGTACTCGACTTCAAGGTCTGAATCTTGATGTCGGCTACCAAGAGTCGCAGTTTTTGTTTTCGGGCTCACATTACCTTCAAACTCATTTAAAGCATCTTTTAATGAAGCTGAAAGTATTCCGAGTCCTTGGTTTAATGAAGGTTCAGACAAGTTTCGAGACCTATATGATGATGTTGGGTTGTATCCTTTAGGAAGAGGAGGTCTTTTGATGAAGCTTTTGTTGATTTTATGATTTTCTTCACTCCCATTATCTGAACTGTTTCTAAACACGTCATTTTCAGACTGAAAACTGAAGTCGAGAAGTCTTTTTTCACTTTGGGTTGAGCCCGCCCTATGTAGCTTTGCGAGCCTGTGAATGGCTTCTTTGCTACTACTTCTAGGCAACAGTCTCGGAGGAGTTTCTCCTTTGCTGTTTAAATACTCGTGCTCAATAGTCCCAAAGCTTCTGCTTCGGGTGATGACAGCTCCTGGTTTCTTTTTACCCCATTTGCTCACACAAGTAAGATCAGATTCATGCTCTTTCTGTTTTTCTCGATGCCGGTTCAACTTTTCCACATCTTCGCGTAATGCCTGAATCAAATCTTCAACTGGTCTTTTAGAAACACTCAAGTTACTTGATAGCTCTGATTTACCTTTATGTCTGGGCGACAGTTTTTCTTGGTTTGAGTTCGCCGCGAAATTTTGAACAAAATCAGGTAAAGATTGATGACGCTCTCTCAAAGGTCTGCTCAGAATAGTGTCATTCTCTGGCGGCTTACGAAGCATTTCCATTTCTTTGATGGGATTTTTAGATTTATCCAACCTCTCCGAATATTTTCGATCCAAGTGGCTGCTAGACTTAGCATGGTTTGGTTTCGATAACTCAACTAATCTTTTTATTGGTTTGTCAGCTTCGTCTATTTCTCTCGTTATAATGATGGTAGGCTTTCTAATATCTGTAACAGAAGGTTCCCGAATACTACTCCATACTCCAAAGGAATGGCTTCTTTGGAGCTTTCCCAGTAAATCGGATTGACTTTTAGAGTGAGATTGGCTCAATTTTTGGCTGCCAGATCCAACATTTTTGTTTGTCTTCAGCTCTTTCTTGATATCTCCACTGTTTAAAGAAGCATTCCACTTTTTTCGTTCAAGCTGATGTATGCTTTCGTAGCCTTTTAGTTTTCCGTTGCTGGATTCTTTTTGTGATCGGAGCGTTTTTCTGGTCCAAGAACTTTCAAGCCTGCGCTCCATCGCAGCCAGATCGCGATCCATGTTTTTGAAAAAATCAGAATCCTTGCTAGTCGGTGAATTTTTTACCGTATCGCACCCGGTTTCGGTTGGGGTGGGGGTCGAAGTTCCTGAATTACTAAGCTTTTCATGGTCATGTTTTGTGTCTGCTTTGGTTTTATGTCCGTTGATGGTTGGACTTAAACTGAGCAGCTCGCGACTTTTGGATTTGATCGAGAGACCGTTTAGTGGTTTGACTTTCGGTTGTCGCACAAATTGCGCAAAAGGATCCGACGTCAAACTGCCGATTTTAGTAACAGGGTCAGTTTTGGAAGTGAGCTGTAAGTTGCTCTTTTCTAAAACGAACAAAACGAGTCAACTAATTTTGAGACCAAGAAAATCTTTTCAATAATGTTAATTCTGCAGCTGCAAAGATAACTAGGGAGCAAGGAAATATTATATATTAAAAACCAAAGATACAAATCAAAGAGCGCAATCAAATCATAAAACCTGTTCCAGCTTACAAGATTCAATTAAAATTCGATCTGTAATCTCAATATCGAGAACATAGGCCAAAGTTCTACCAAAATGCAATGACAAAGCCGTTTAAGGTCCGGCAGCCAACATTTGCATACAATTTGGTGGCTCTAAATGCAACCGCTGGCTTAGACAGTGGCGCTTGATTAAGGAGTTGGTTTGATCATAACAGAAGGCTGACACATGGGCACGAACAAAGATAGAAACAATTCCTAATTTAAGGTAAGGTATAATACTCTTTAACTCGTTTTATTGGTTTTGTTCTAAATCGACCAGGAGGTAACTACTCCTATCAGTTATGGCTAGTCCAATAATTTATATCTGCTTCTTCCAACAGATCTGATTCAAGCTTCCTATGGCACTCGGAGCAAGATTATCATTCAAGGGTGCTTACTTAAGAAAATTGTTGAAAGTTTTCTATCGCACCAATAACGCTAATTTGTACCAACAGTTCGGAACAATGTTTTGGTAAAAGACCTTTCAACATAAACAACCATTCTTAATTTGCTCGGTCAACTCTCAATATTGTCAAATATCTGTCTTTTTTAACATATTCTTCAGGCTTATATCTGATAGGTCCATAGACCAACTAGTAGGAAATTGAAAAAAAATCAGTCGCACCAACAGAGTGTTAAGCATTTTTTAATTGACATTCAACTAGCTGCTGCTACTCGATTTTTATTGTTCCAACCATTTGGGAGATTGTTAAGTAGATCCTAAAATTATTTTCAAAGTATCGAGAATATGACACATCTTTCAATCAAGATCAATTGTTTTAGTCGAAGAACAGTTTTGAAGAAAAGAAAAATTTATGATGTCGCTTATGAAAAATGCACAAAAAATTTTCAAACTTTTTCCCAAAATTTTTGCAGAAATTTTTCGAATTTAAAAAAAAAATTCGATTACCAAAATGGCGCAAAAACTCCAAAAACTAATTTTGGATCTACTTAACAATCTCCCCCCTTTCAAGAAAGGGAGAGATTCTTTAGTAGATAAAATAGAGGGGAAATTGTTAAGTAGATGATTTTAATTGACTGAAATTTTTCATGTTAAGTCAGTTTAATTGCGGTTTGCAGAGAATCTATCGAAAGCTATCCAGTGTGTCTACGGATAGTCTTTTTATCTCATTTTCTAGATTACGTTTTTTGTTGAGCGACGTTCTTTTTTTGCTATTCATGGCCGTTTTTTGGGTCTAGAGTTTTCACGTGGTACCAGTTCTGCAGCTTAAACTGGTTGTAGTAGATCTGAAGCTGAGGTCAAGTGAGAGCTCGTGCACACACACTATTTTTGGTGCCACAGCTGTGAAACAGTTAGAAAATCTGACGCTATAGCAGTGAACGCCTGGTGGAATCCATCATACGCGAAGGATCGAATGCGCGAAAATAAAAATCAGCCATTCAGATATCAGTAATCTAAAAATTGGAAAGAAAGTAAACATATCCAGGGACTGAATATTGATCTTGGCCGAATACAAAAACGGCAGAAAAATGCAAAAGTTCAAATTGTTGCTGACTGCCGCCGAATTGCAACAATTTTTATATTTCAAGGGTTTCGTTATGAAAAAAGCAAAAAAAAAATTGCTTCATTTAACTGAAAGGCAATTGCTTCTTTTTAAAAATTGACTCTCGGCTTATTTTGTTTTTGGTCCTTTGCCCACGAATTTTTTCGCCCATTCGGTCCTTCGCGCATGAGAATAGCCCCCGAACGCCTCACCTCTATGCTAAGTGATGTTACGGTGGCGCCACTCATGCTTGAGAGACCGAATGCTTGAAATTAATTTTAGTAAATCTGAAAGTAAGAAAATAAATCCAGGCCATTAGTGTTAATATTGACCAATTAGATAATAAGCAGATGAGTTTTCAAGACTGAAAAATTTATATGAACTTGAACTCATATTACTTGATGTTTATCTGAATAGTATTGCGGTTGTAACTTGCAATTTGTAATATTTTTGATTATTTTTCCACTGATTTAATACATTTTCTGTTAAAATTTACTTCGATTTTGTGAGAAAGGCATTTAGCCAATAGAAACGCTTAGCGATTTTGATTGGTTGAAACTTTTCAAGCAATCAGTCCCTCAAGCATGAGAACCCTCCCGTATGTTTCTAATCACTCCAGCGCAAACCACAGTGACAACGGATAAAATGATCACCACAAAACAATCAAATTTATTTCAGTCCAGATGATCCAGTTCATTAGCTCTCCATACCTAGCTTTCAAGCTTTATATACCAAGCTTGCATACGCAAATAAACTCATGCGCATGCTCACATGTGAAGCGGCAATTTGAATTTGTATTAATTGACTATTCATAACAAACATCAATTTCTAATCAACGACAACTCGTTTTTTTTGTATACAAGAAACATTTTGTAACAGGCGATGTTTTGAAAGGTTTAATTGGTTTTATGATTTTTAAAAATCTGTTTTTGAACCGTAAATTAGGTGGCGCACAGACAATTCGGCCAATTTGAAATTCAGGTAATTCAGCTAGAAATATACAGACAATTCAGCCTGAGACAATTCAGCCAGTTTTACAAAACGCTATATTCGAAAGAAAAAAAATCGGAATTGGAGTTATTTCTCCGTTTAAGGTCGCTGGTGGGCGCGCTACGCGCGCGTCGACGCTTCGCGACAATAACCGGATCTAAAAATTGTATAGAGTCTTACCCTTTGTTGGCTGTAATAGGCTATAAAGTACCAAGTAGGTCAATAGTTTTCATGTTAATAAATGAAAACCTAAACTTACTGCGTAAAGTATTCTGTATACAAATACTTGTTGCGGTTTTCATCGTACTATCATGTAATAGATCGGTCCTACGTTTGATTGTTGTTCGCGCCGTGATCTCGGTGTTTGTGTAATATCTGGTATTTCTTGTATTGTTTGAAAATTTGCGTAGATTCTTTGAGACGTAGAGACATTTCTATTAAATTATCTATTCCATCTAACATTTTGCAATTTGGCAATTGTCTATTTTTGATTCTAATTATCTAAATCTAGGTTAGTTAAGGTCTTGTCCGAGTCTTTTGGTCGCACCAGATGAGTTATATTCAACGTACTATACTCATAGAGTAATTTCGGATAAATTACACCGTCTGTTCGTCACGCTATCTTATTTCCGGCCGGATAGATTCGTGCAACTTCTTAGTCTAATACCAATCCTAATCTTACTCTTATATCTCCTAGTCTCAATAGATCTAGTGTACACTGGTATTTACGAGTTAGTTCTTGGAGTTTATCCAGAAGGAGAACAACTGTAGTCTAAGATTTATTCAAATTGTTCTGGTGCTGAAACTACATGTAGTTTCAGCACTTACAAATAAGTGTCAATGTTATTTATGGAATATGATTTGTTAGTTACTAAAATTTTATAGAGATTATTTTACCAGTAATATAATTGCTTTATAATTACTAATTTAAAACTGGTTCCAAAATTGCCTGTGATAATTTTTAGTAGAGCTATTGTAAGCAGTAGGAATCAGCATGGCCAGAAAAACACTCTCCGAAAACCAATTCAATGTTTATTTTTAAAAAATGAAGTGCCTGTAATATGTTTTTTTCATTTATGATTTCAAGTTTGTTTTTCGAACGAAAGTAAATAAGCATGAGCAAAAAAAAATTTATTTTTTTTGAAACCAGAGTACATTCATTTTCTGGGCTAAGCGAAATTAACGGTAGGCTTTTTTGCCAGGAGATTCATTTTTTTACCAAATTACTAAGCAACCGCTTTTCAGATTTAAGACCCAATTTTGCCGAGAAAGACTGCTATGGAACCCCCGAGAGCATTTCATGCGAAGGCTACAGCAGAAACTTCCAATGAGACAGTCATAAACAATCAACAAGCTTTTTATGAGCTGAAACAGTTATAACCCTTGCCTGGAAATTCTGTCATTTTTATTAAAGCGTTTTTTTTACTTTAGTCATGCTAATTTGAGAAGGGATTTTCAGGAGATCAATTTAGCTCCTTTTGAAGATACTACGAAGAACTCCGGCGAAGAACTCTGACTTTCGATGACATATTTTATGACGTTGGGACTTGTTCCTCAATATGATTCAAAGCTAGAAATCAACTAGCCGATCAATTAATTGTCTGAAGATTCCCCTATTATTCAACATGTGGAGATTTTCAAAGAAAATGGATTGATTCAATGTCATGTGCAAAAGACTAAACAGTTTTTTTTTATGTAACTGTGGAATCCACTTAAGTGCTCACGAGATCAAAAACAAAAATAACTATTTCAGTGAAAGGCAGGCATTATGCTTTGTAGATGGGAATGGGTTTCACACACCCTAGCATCCACAGACTTTTTGAATTTATCTTGTGAGAACAAAGGCTGGCCAAAAATAAGTTCAAGCTAATAAGATCCGAAGAGCAGCCATCAGAAAAGATGACTCTTGAGAACGTTTAGCTAAAATTGTCTGATATTCTAAAAACTATCAAAGCAACCGAAAGGCAACGTTTTGCAAAGAATGGTTTTCAGCTTTGACTTTTTCGTTGATACTTTTATGTTAACATTTTAACTAAGCTATCATAAGCCACACCGAAAACTTTGATACGAAATGTCGTTTGTTACGAACTGTTACTTGCTACGAATTGTCGCCTTTACAAAGTTACGAACAGCTGATTGATACGAATTGTCACCTAATACTAATTCACACACGTTGTAGGTGTGAGTGAGTAAATGTGATTGAAAAAACAGAGTGTATATTAATATTCGATAATATAGTATTTCCGAGTTATAAAAAAGTATTTAAATTTGAATGCCATAAACTGGTGTTTTTTGTTTAGCTAGCGCACAAGGCTCATAAAAGATAAAACGTTGAAAAGATGGTACAAAAAACAGAAAAATTTCATTTAGTTATCATAAACTTGAAAAATATCTAGAAAAAAATGAAATAAAATCCTGGATCTAAATTAATCAAAATATATGCATAAAGATATACTGTGCTGATTTAAATTAACCGGACAAAACGCGTTAAAATTTAAGTTTAAAACGCGTTTTTCTCAAATTGGGTTGAATTTAGCTGAAAACTTATGAAGACAAAACTTGCTTAAAATTTTAGCAGAATAAATATGGACTGATTTGTGTTTGCAAAATTGGGGCCCAAAATTTTACCCCAAAAATGGGTCATTTTGGCTTTTCTTAGTTAATCAAAAATTACGCCAAAAATACCCAGTCAATCACAGACACAATTATATCAAAGTGAGCCCCTTACGTAGCCCAACAAACTTTAAAAAGGGTATTTTCTCCAAAACATTGTATAAGTTAATTTATTTTTGTTTGATAGACAAAAAAAATTGTTTTTACTATATAAAATACCAACTTTCTTTTAAAAACAATTTTTAAACGGTTTGCAACTTTTTTTGGAGAATATACCCTTTTAAAGTTTGTTGGGCTACGTAAGGGGCTCACTTTGATATAATTATGTCTGTGATTGACTGGATATTTTCGGCGTAATTTTTGATTAACTAAGAAAAGCCAAAATGACCTATTTTTGGGGTAAATTTTGGGCCCGAATTTTGCAAAACAAATTACACCACATTAATTCTGCTAAAATTTTAAGCAATTTTTGTCGTAATAAGCTTTCACCTAAACTCAACCCAATTTGAGAAAAACGCGTTTTAAATTTCAAGCTTAGCTCGTTTTGTCCGGTTAATTTCAATCAGCACTGTATAAGCTGCGTTGTTTGTAAAGAAAACAGTAGTTTAATTTTGTCACAACCAATTTTTTTGAAAATAATCGAAGAACAAGAACTAGTTTGACCTTTGATCTATCGATTTTTGAGATCTTAAATTTTTTGATAAGATTTTTTTCCTTGCTCAAGTACCAGGGGTGGTTTTTTCTAGGTTTTTTCGAAATATTTTCGTTAAAAACTTGTGTTTTTTTCGGCGCCATCTCTCCCTCTCAAAATTATTTTATAGTGTCACCAAAGGATCTTTTACAAAAATTACAAAAAAGACTGAGTCAGTCGGCCGAATTTGCATGTCTTAAAATAGTACAAAGGACACTTTGGGTGGTCAGGGGTCAAATGCTTGAGGAAAAAAAGCCTCCAAAAATTAAATTGATTTGGTACAAACCTGATGTGCTTTCAGAAACCATCATGACATTGATAGATTTGTCAAATTTTATCACTCTTGAGTAAACTGAAGTCAAACACAAACTTAATATCAAACATAAAACGTGAATCGGTTAAAAATGCTGTCTCAACACGGATTAAAAATCGAGTAATTTTATCAGCGTCCAATCATCAATTAAAAACAAAGCCATATAATAACGAAAACTGAAAAAAATATAAACGCTTTACTGAACAAAAAAAAAGAATTTCAAATTTGAAAATGCAAGCAAACAACCGTTCATCTTGTCTTTAGCTGTAAAAATTCTTTGCTAGAATAATTCTCTCTGTATGTACATGTTTGAAGCTTGAGCTTTCGAAACGGTAAAAGTAGTTTCTTGATGTTAGAAAGTTTACTTTGCTAAAACTCGTAACTTCTGGTCCCTTTTTACTCTGCTGACTTAAACAGTGCAGAAGAAAGAAATTTTGTTAAGAGATCAATAAGCTCAAGTTAAATTAACCGAGTGAAAATTGTTGAGTACATGGCGTGCTCATTCTCATTTACAATTAAATCTTTCAAACCCTCACAATGAAGTCATAGAGAGTCATTTTGAATTTAGATGAAAAACAATCGAAGAGAATTCAAAAAACGTATAGTAAAAAAAATTCGCACTAATACGTGAGCTTGTCATTAAAAATTAGTTTTTCCAAGCTGTTATTGAAATTGCTTTCAAGAACAATCCTTAGTTTTGGGCTAAAATACAACATTACAATAAATAATCTGCTCAAATATTAATAATTGCATTTCTTGAAAGCATTGTAGAAAAATAATATATCAGCCAACGGAAGTCAGAAAGCAAAATGTAGACTTTTTTCGGGTTAACAAGTAGTTTAACAAAATCACTTGAATCATTTGATAGCTTGCTTTGTTAATGAAGCTAATTTTCATGAAAATGTTGGTCCAGTAGTGTGGTGATATAGAGTGGGGTTACGCCGCAAGGGATCAAACGTTCGAATGCAAGACCAAGACAGTTTTTTTTAATTGTCGATGAGCGTAGTTCAAACTCTTTGTATAGGTCGCAATAATTTTTTTTGCAGGAAGAGTCTTAAATATTATTCAGGCTCAAACTTGTTTTTTCGCAGATTGACTTCTGACTTTTTTAACCCTGCGATAAGCAAGGGTATTGCAATCAGGTACTAGACTTTTCTCAAAAATACCTTTGTTCACAGACTCATCTGGACTCTTAGTGGTACCTTGGTTCATAATGAATTCAAATTTTGTAGTGTCTCCTGGATGTATCAAATACGCCTGGGATGGCAGTGGTCCTGGATTCAAATCTGACTATGACGTATTTTTTTTTTCAATCGGTAAATATTCCTATGCAAAAAATGTCGACCAATTATTTGTCTGCTTATGTTTTTTCGGCTTAGTTGCCACATCTAAAATCGTTTTTTTTACTGCAAAAATTGTTCATTGCAGTTGTTTTTAACGTTTTAGCAATTTAAAAGTCCAGCCGAATCGAAAATTGTTTTTTACCCTAGTTGTAATTTTACCAGCTCAATTTGTGAAAATTTCATTTTTTATTTTAGTTTTTGTCTTTTTATGGGCTTGATGACTTTCAGTTTAAATTATATCGACCTAGTGGCCTCCAATTGCCTCGTCTAGAGATCAGAAAAGCTTTGTGTGCGTGTGTTCTGAGGGGAAACGGGAGATAAATCTTTTTGTTAATTTAGAATTTTTTCAAAGTGTAACGATTCTGCTTAGATATTTTCGGCTTTGTTACCGCTTGGTTATTTTAAGTTCAAATTCAATTGCTGTCCGGTGCATCTAGAGTAGAGGTAACCCAACTGCCCGAGACCGCAAAAGGCTGCGGTTCGAATCCAGCCGGAAGTTTTTTCTTGCAAACTAGAGTTTTGGCGCTTTTTTGGGCTATCAGTTTATTTTTGTCGGCTTAGTTCCTGTAGCCTAACTGTTTTTCTAATGTATAGCTTTCTTTTAAGTTGTTTTAACACCCCTGTTAGAGAACACAAAACCAGAGAGCTCGATTCCATTGAAGACATGTTTTTTTTTTACAAATATAAATATTTCGGCTAATTTAGATTATTGTCGGTCTGCCTGTTTTTGTCAGCCTTAATCCGCAGAAACAACTTTTTTTTTAAATTTTTTTTCTAGCATTCCGAAATGTTTTGTAAAATTTCTAATGATGCAGGCAAGGTTTTTTGTTTTTTTTTGGGGCTTTGGTTCCAAATTTAATTGACAAGCACAATTTTTGGCAGTTTTTTCCCCATTTTTTTCCGTTAAGTTTTAATCAAAGTCATTCAAATTGGTATCAAAAAAGAGTCGAAGCTCAGCTTCGCCTCTGTGTAAAAATTAATCAAAAACCTGGACAAGCCCTCTTAGTTGCCAAAGTTTGACCAATGAAATTTCTAATCCATTTTTTAAATTGCAAAAATATTTCTAAGCACTGGCAAACAAAAATTCTTTGTTCGAAAAAATGTTTCTAGGCACAAACAAAGAAAATATTTTTGAATGCAAAATTGAAGTTTTTGTCTATAACGCACTCCAGATACAGTCTTTTTGCATACAGGTTAAAAAAAATTGGAAATTGTGTTTTGCGTGAAGCCAGAATTGTTTTTTTTAATGTTTTATGTAGTAAAATAAATCTTTTGTTTGTCGAAAAAACAAACCGCGATTAGAAATTACTCAAACTTTGAAAAACAGAAGCTTTTTAGCCGTGCACAAAAATTTAATATTAAAGTTTTTATATAATTAAGTGTAAAAAAAGAATTTAAGAGTTAACGTGAACTCTGACCTCGTGAAAATAGTAAGACTAGCGTTTTTGTCGACCTGGCTAAGCACTAGTACCTTATAAGCCAGTTACTGTCTAAAAACGAGCAACAGCTAAATTTTAATCTGTCTAAAAGCGCGCAGAGTTTAATCAGAAATTCAGTTTAATAGCAAAAATTTCGTCCACAATTACTCAGCTCAGCCAAGTTTGGAAATATTTAAACTGGATAATATAAGCAACTGCAGAACAATTTTCTCAATTTTACGTCAAATTGCGCGAACTATGTACAATTACTAATGGCCACTCAAACGTTCGCGAATAAAAAAAACGAAAACAAACGAATTTCTGATTCCCTGGAAACAAATGCTCCAAATCTTCTTTAATTAGTTTTGTGACGCTATTGCGTATCTGATTTTTTTCAATAGCGAAGCTTGCTTTCTTTTTAGTGCATGCTTTGAACTAATTAAAAAAAATAATTGTATGCACTAGGTCCAAGGTAATTTATGAAACAGCCAACAGACTTTCGGAAAATTGTTAAGGAACGCAAAAAAACATTGCTGTCTTGAAATTGAAAAACTTCATTTTTCAAATTTCAAAATAGAAATGCTCTTAAAGCTCTTTTACTATCAAAAAAAATCATGGTTGCCAATTTTTGAAAAAAAAAACGAACACAAACTGAGCAAAAAATCTCCAGATTTGCCCCTTTTTTAGTTAGGTTCGAAAATAGTAGCCATTTTAATACACAGCACTTGTGTAAGAAAATAAGCTTACGAAAGGAACTTGCCTACTCCAATGCAGAATGTAAGTAGTTGCTAATTAAATCTGGCAGCTTCACTAGAGTTTAATAAAATATGCTACTCGGTCGGTCTTAACCTCCATGTCAATGCTTGAAAATTAGTCAGTAGATTTCCTACTAAAAAGTCAAATTAAGACTTTTTCTCCTCGATTTTAAATTCTACTGCTAAAATTTCTAGCAATGATGACAATGACTCCAGGTGCATTTTGCGTTTAAAAACGACTACAGGCCATAGGTCTTTCCTATTCTGCGTGTGGAGCAATGAGGAGTTGCTGTAGTGAATTATATGATTAAGCGCTAAAACTTTCAATTCCATCAAGTTCGTGATTGAAAACTATCTCAGTGCCAGATAGTTAAACTAGTTGCTCTGTCATCTATATCAAAAAAACTCCAGAAATTTGCTTGATAATAATTTGAATTCATTGATAAAGGACACTCTGATTAAACTAAGTTAACATGAAACATGTACACGCAAAAAGCACTTGCAAAATCCACAAGAAAAATTCACATCTCCCTTATTGGCAATCCCAATAATGCTATCTATATTAACTATTATAGAAAAACAATCATCTAGCATTAAAACATCAAGAAAATTTCAAATATTGCTAAAAATGAACTTCACTGGCTTGAAACGTTAGCCCAGCCAAATCCCTTCTCAAAAATCAATTTTCAATTGTACTACAAACGAAAAACGCCATATAGATTAGGGCATGCCCGGGCAGTTTAGATTGATAACTATTTGATAGATTTTAATTTGTGCATGGAAAATAGATAAAATACTTTCAGCTCAATTGCAAAGCAAAATAAAAATTGTTTCTTTCATAACTTGCAGAAAAATTCATGCCGTAGAACAGTTCATGCCGTAAATTCTGAGCTGATGCTGAGCTTTGTTGGCAAAAGAATGAGTTTTCTGCAATTTGATCTTTTTAAGATTGTCAAGTCTTTTCGAATCTGGGAAAATATAATTCATTCAAAATGACAAGTACTATAATGCCTATGGTTAATGAATATCAAAATAATTGGGATGCAAAAGCAACATATTGGACTTTAAGCAAACATCAGGAGGGGAGTTTGGAACCTCTGAGGAAGGCAGCAGATGATTTGATGTGACGATATCTTTGACCAGATTAGATCGGACCAATACATACAACACTCGGTATAAAATTTAGATGATTTCACTAACAGTACAAAGTTTAGAGGTAAAGTTGTTTATGATAGAAAACAGTTTTCAATCAGTTTCACTCTGACTTCTGTATAATGTTTCAAGCATCATTTGAGCGATGACCAATCCTGACATGCAAACTCCAGTTTTTGTTCAACAGTTACTCCCGTTAAACGTTTTCCTGAAACATGTCACTCATTTAAATTATTTAAAAAATAGCCTACAATTTAACAATGAAGCTGCGCATCCGATTTCAAATCAAGAAAAGCCGAAAAGCTTCAGCTCAAACACTGCTTTGTAAATATTGAAACCCTCTGTAACGCTATATTGCATTGTAACACATCACATTCCAGAAGCAAAAATTGTGAACAAAGCAACAATTGTTTGTTTCGCAACTGGACAATTGCCTACTAGAATAAACTTGGAGTAAAATCGAAAACTCACATCTGCATTTTCCGCCCCTCCTCCTCCGCCACCCTGTTTCTCGCCCTCTCCCTGCAGTTCCACATTGTAGCTCTTCGGTTCTTTCTTCTTTCTGCTCTTCACTGTGTCGTATTGGTCTCCGGCGTCTTTCAGGTCCCGCATGAACTCCGGCTTGGCCTTGAGTGTCTTGCACTCGTGAGGAGCATCCACTGCGTCATTCTCATGAGAATCCTCACTCACACACACCAACAGAGTGTCCAGAACAAGCTAAAACACAGCCAACAGACAAATGGAAAAGCATCATCTTTTTATGTCAACACTTTTTTTTCAAAAAATTGAAAAATAGATTTTTTTATTTCACAGATATTCTTGAATTTTGAAATCCACTTTTGAACCTAAAACGTTTTTAAACTTTTAAAATCGTTCACGTTTTTAAACTTTTAAGAACACTTTCAATGATATTTTATTGAGTTCTGTTCATCTGAGTTGTTTTAGTGCCCCACATGCACACGCAGAACTTGACATTGTCTCATTCTGACAATGATCGAAACAAGAGAAACAGAGTTAAGACCCCAGAAGATTTCACAGAAGATTTTACACAGAAAGTGACTGGAAGGAACTCGCAATTGTGTTTTCCTCAAACCTCGTATGGTGTCAAATGTGCTATATTATACTGAAGCCATATTGGCCGCCATTCGGATTCAAAAAAAAAACATAAAAAGGGGTCTCAACGTCGAGAAAAATTGGTCATTTACGTTTTTCAGATAAAATGACACAAAATTACAAATGACACTATGAAAGGCATGTCTCACAATTTGATTTCACTACAGCATAAATTTTGTTTTAGCTATTATAGCCTCTCCTTCTTGCAGTGTTTCGCCTAATTCAGCCACCCTGACTAAACAAAAATAGCACGAAAATGGAAACAAATGAAATTGAACAAAAATTTAAAACGATGTTTCCGGAAAACTTTCTGATTTTTAAACGTTCCTTTACTTCAAGTATTGTGGTCGGAACAATCTGTGCTACTTGCACAGTAACCGCACTAGCCGACCATTCTTGTTCAATGTTTTCCAAACCGCGAAACTTTTCCACTCCAGCAGAAAAAACGAACCGAGCACAGTTCATGATAGGCCTCGAAATGTGAACGATTCGTCAAAATCAGTTGAAAAAGAATTGTTTGTGCAAGGAAATGTTGATATGAGGAACAACTTACGTCGAAAACTCCGAAGAAACAGGATGCGGCAAAGTATGCGAAGATGGCTGCACAAACTGCAGGCACGAAGTAGTAGTTGAGCTCCTCGTCTTCCTGAAACAACACTCGAGATACTTCAGATACACTAAGCAGTTAGGCAAAAATGAATTTGGACTGGGTTAGTTACATGGACAGTTAAATGAAACAACTAAACTAAACAGACAGACACCATTTGGTTAACAGTTATTGTATAAAAGTGCTATCACAATTACTCAACTTTAGCATTTCATAATTGCTATAGCAGACTTCCCTCCTCATTACAACATGTAACAAGGCGAAAGTTCAATGTGAAATAATGAACTAGATCCTTTAACCCATTGATTTCTAGATGGAACTCGTTGATAAGAAAACTGGCACATCGGATGAACACATTACACGTATAGTTCCAGGTGTAATTTAGTAAAAGCACAGATAGACAGGGAAAACTACTAACAAGTTATTCAAATTACAATAAAACATTAACAGGTGAGTGATGATGGAGCATTTTAATTCAACGCAATTCACGATACAAGAGGAGATAGAAGAATGAGAAGAAGACAGACGTACACAGAAAAAGCCGGTGGTGGAGGGTGCGTTGGATTGGGCGAACGAGCAAATAGCTTCGCTATTCTGAAACGAACAACACACTAAACTATTCATACAAAGTTAGAAAAGGCAACTCTCCGACCATCCTATATAACAAGAAGCATTTTTCATGCCTATCTAAAACTTGCGTCAGGCAATGTGAGCGTTTATTTGAGCTTTAGGTATTATACTTTTAGGCGCTATATCTACTAAGGCCTTCGAGATGCGCCACAACCTTTTAACATTTCAAGCAAATTAACACCGATTGCAGGCACTAAGTATAAAAATAAAAAAATGTACATATGTTTACAAAACCCTTGTCTGCCAAGGGGTTTTAAAATCTTAATATCAAGTATAAAGCTGTCATTTATGGGTAACGTGCTGTATCTGAAACTGAATTGATATTTCGATGAACGATGACAAATTTTTTTGAAAATCAAGAAGAGGTGAGCGGTGAACACAGAAAAACTAAAAACATTCTTGAAAAAAGGAAAAACTATCTTGAAAAGCGATGCAAATATTGAGTTTTGAACAAAAAGTTTGGAAAAATAGAGATAACGCTACATTTCGAACGATGACTTTTCAGCCAATCTGAAATTGAGATGGGACATTTCGGCCTAAAAAAATTGAGACAATTCAGTCGGAGATACTCAAACGAATTAACGGTTAAAGCAGAAATTGTAGAAAATAAAATACACACGGCATTGTCAAGAAACGAACGCTTGCTTTGCTGCGCTTATATTCGTCACGAATAGACCAGTATTTGCCGGTGGAATCCCTCATGCGCGAAGGACAGAATGCGCGAAAATAAAAATCAGCCAATCAGATTTCAGTAATCTAAATTTGGAAAGAAAGTAAACATTTCCAGGGACTGGAGTATTGATGTTGGCCGAATATAAAAACGGCAGAAATATACAAAATCTTCAAATTGTCATTGACCGCCGCAAAATTGGGACAAATTTTACATTTCAAGGGTTTCTTGATGAAAGAAGCAAAATATTGCTTCATTTAATTCATTTCAACTGAATGGCAATTGTTTTTTTTTTAAATTGACTTTCGGCTAATTTTGTCTTCGGTCCGTGGCCTACAATTTTTTTTCGCACATTCGGTCCTTCGCGCATAAGAAAAGCCCCCGTATTTGCGCTACTCTAGATTGAAGGTGGCGTCCCTCATGCATGAAGGACCGAATGCTTGAAATTTATTTTAGCTTACTTTCAGCCAATCAGAATTGAGTATTCAAATTCTCAAAGTAAATCGTGAAAATCTCCAAGTAAGAGAATAAATCGAGGCCATTAGCGTTAATACTGACCGATTAGATAATAAGCAGGTGAGTTTTCAAGACTCAAAAAATTCTTATGAACCCGAACTCATAAATTATGATGTTTATCTGAATAGTATTGCGGTTGTAACTCGCAATTTGTAATATTTTTGATTATTTTCCATTGATTTGAAACATTTTCTGTTAATATTGACTTCGATTTTCTGAGAAAGGCATTTAGCCAATAGGAACGCTTAGCGATTTTGATTGGTTGAAACTTTTCAAGCATTCGGTCCTTCAAGCATGAGAACCCTCCCCTAGATTGAACTCACTTCTCAAACTGAAATTGTCTCAATAAATCATACAGTGCTGATTTAAATTAACCGGACAAAACGAGCTAAGCTTAAAATTTTCTCAAATTGGGTTGAGTTTAGGTGAACGCATTTTCTCAAATTGGGTTGAGTTTAGGTGAAAGCTTATGAAGACAAAAATTGCTTAAAATTTTAGCAGAATTAATATGGTGTAATTGTTTTTCGAAATTCGGGCCCAAAATTTTACCCCAAAAATGGGTCATTTTGGCTTTTCTTAGTTGATAGAAAATTACGCCAAAAGAACCCAGTCGATCACAGACATAATAATATCAAAGTGAGCACAATACGTAGCCCAACAAACTGTAAGAAGGGTATCTTGTCCAAACCATTGTATAAGTTTATTTATTTTTGTTTGATAGACAAAAAAGGTCGTTATTACTATATAAAATACCAACTTTTTATTTAAAAACAATTTTTAAACGGTTTGCGATTTTTTTTTGGAGAATATAGCCTTCTGAAAGTTTGTTGGACTACGTAAGGGGCTCACTTTGATATAATTATGTCTGTGATCGACTGGGTACTTTTGACGTAATTTTCTATTAACTAAAAAAGCCAAAATGACCCATTTTTGGAGTAAAATTTTGGGCCCGAATTTCGCAAAACAAATTACGCCATATTAATTCTGCTAAAATTTTAAGCAAGTTTTGTCTTCATAAGCTTTCACCTAAACTCAACCCAATTTGAGAAAAACGCGTTTTAAATTCAAGTTTAACGCTTTTGTCCGGTTAATTTAAATCAGCACTGTAGCGTGAATACAAATTTGTCCAAATGTCTGAGGACGTAATTAAAGCTACTTGCTTTCAATTAGAAGTTAGCATTATTGATTTTAAACATCGATTCTAAACATCCTAAGCTCACATCTGCTTCACTAGTCACGATAGAATTAGTGACTGACCTTGAACCAGATGAGTCCTATGGCGGCCACGATGGCAGACACTCCTGCCTTGCACAGGAAGATGACGAAGGTGCCGATAGTATTCAGGGCAGCCACCCGCAACGCATTGCTAACCAGAATCACCACTGCCTAAAACAATATTCATTAGAAATTAGTCAACATACTTCCAGCCAGGGATAAGACCAACATTCGAGCGGTTCAACTCCACTAATTGACGTTTGTAATAGCCGACAATCGTTACTTTGGCTTTACCTTTTGAAGTTTTGATATAGGGGTTTGGGAGTTATGTGGGGGGGGGGGGGGTGATGCTGATGGAGAACAAGAGCCGTTATTTTCTGAGATCGAAAATTCACAAGCGACAACAAAAGTAACTACTCGTAATTAAAAACTTGCTAATTTCATTTTAATTAGATTGGCTTTTTGCAAAGATTGGTAGCTGAAATCAAGTGAGATTATGAGTCAACTCTTTCCTTCTCTTTGAGTCGCATATATCATCTTTTTTGTTCGGTACTAGTTTACTTGTTTGGTCCCGTGACAAAACTAGTTTAGATGACTGGTCTCGCCCATTTTCTACAAAGGACAGCCAGCACGGAATTTAAACCTACACCTTGGGGTTGGAAACCAAATTCGTACCCGCCAGGCTAACGAAGCCCGTTGTGACATTAATATAGAGAAATAAAAATGCTTACTGTTAGAATTAGCCGCATACTGTACCTCGTTTTTTTTAGGGACCACCGTTTTTTTGAGGGACCAAACAATTAAACTAGTACTTTCCTTTCTGCTGAATTTTTTGAATTCTGAAACTCTGAAAATTTCAGGAAAATTATAGTAATTTGACGGTATTGAAAAATATCCTCGCGTGAGACTGTTTTGGTCGAAGGAAAATGTTTCGAAACTATCTATACACACAGAGGCGAAGCTGAGCTTAGCGCCACTTGCGATACAACTAGGTCTATTAAAATGAATGAAGATAGTTGTGAAAGAACATGGCGAAAAAATAGAACGCAAAATCAGCATCGGAACAAAATTAACCAGGCGGCGACAAAGTTGAAAACACTACAGCGAAAACTCTTCCAGCCAAATTTTTAAATAAATTCAAAACTAATTGAAAATGTTTACAATCCCCTTTCCCTCGAAGCACATACAGGCAGACAAAATTTTTTTTGAGCATCTAATGAAGCAAAAAAGCCGCTATAAACAAGCCGAAACCTATCAAGCCGAAAAAAAATTCAACAAACCGAGCGGTAAAAATACAACCAATATAAAAGGTGCTCAAGGGAGCGTTAAATATGTTTTTCCTTTGAAACGACGCTAAATTCGGTCACTAAATCGTTAAACAATAGATCGAAATAATTTAAACTGAAAAAAAATTTTAAGCAAAAAAAGGAAATTCGAAGTCAAGGCAAGTAAAGTTTCAAATAGCAGGAAAAAATCAAGCAGTAAAAGCAACATTAAAAATACGCGCAGCAAAAAAAAGATTTCAAGATGTGGAAACTAAGCCGACAAAACATAAGCAGACAAACAATTGGACTACATCTATATTTAAAACAGAAAATTTCCAGTTTGAAAAAATTTCCTGGTCAGATTCCAATCCAAGACCTTTGCGTCCCAGGCATATTCGTTACCACCAGGCTGTGGGCCGCGAACGAATAAAAAATTGAATAAATTATGAAACAAGCCACCACTAGAGATGAGTCCTGTTATTTACGGGAAAAAACTCTAGTGCCAGATTGCAATAACTTTGCTTATCGCAAGGGTAATTATGAATCTCTTGTATGCTTATGTAATCATTTGTCACACTAGCCGTTGTTAAAAGCTAAGAGCCCATCTTTTTTGGGCAGTAAGAAAATCAAAGGGCTGGTCACTGTGAAACAATGATTAAATATGGTCAATTGCTAACGGATAAAAGGGAAAAAAGAAAGGTCAATTGATTTGCAGTTTTACTCATTTAACAACCTTCGATGGATATTTGTTGCTTTTAGATTTATTTAGCATGACAATTTACAAACGATAGGGCTGCTGAAAACAATTTTTTCCAACAGAAATCTGGAAGTGTCGACGAGCCGAAAACATAACCAACTTAGAGTTGGATACAGAGGCGAATCTGCAGCTCTGCAAACACGAGCGAGAAAGCGGCAAACATTCAGGAGCTTTAAAATGCACAAAAACTCTGCATGCAATAATTTGGAATGTAATAAACTAAAGACAACCACACTAACGTTGCATGTAATAAATTAGCATGTATTAAACCAAAATGCGAATAAATTTTGCATTTCAAAAACCTCGCCAAGTAAATCAAGTTGTAAGCTTTCTGATAAAGGATTTAAATTATTATACTGTTGTATGGAACAAATAGCTTTTTTCGTTCAATTGAAGAATTGAAAAACCATTAACTCTGTTAGCCTATTACTAATCAAAAGTCAAAGCACTTGGCAGTAAACTGCTAATAGAGCCAACCGTTTGAAAAGTGCCACCAAATTTGCTACTAAGGTTAGGAAAAAAAACTGCATCGTACTATTACACTACGCTAGGCTCGTGTAAAGAGAGTCAATGGACGCAAGGAAACAGAAAAAAAACTGAACACCAAACATAGAAGAGCTTCGCACCGCTTGCGATATAACAGAAAGATAGCATGACAAACTAGCAAATAGAAACTCGGACAAAATCCGCGAAGTCGAGATAAAAGAGTTTTGAATATCGAGAAAAGTTAGATCTACCAACTTATCGAGAAAAGTTAGATCTACCAAAATTTTCATTATTTTGTATCTTTGTCTTGAAAAAAGACTCCTTTTTTAAAAAAACATGACAAATAAGAAAATTCAAAGTTCCATTTGCAAAGAAACAGCGGAATAAAACGAACAATTATTGAGTTGATACCCGTTGAATAAAAAAAAAATTCAAAAAAACTAATACACTTTCAAAAAAATACAAAATAACACTAAAAATAATCAAATTCATAGGATAATTTTCCGCTCAACCAAGGATGCAACACAATGCCACTAAGCCGATTGAGCATAAACCGAACAAACAAAAAAATCGAAAAAAAAATTAAAAAACTAAACCGAGCCGGAAAATCTGCTGGAAAATCTGAAAATTAAAATATATTTTCGAAACTAGACGCTGATCATATGTTTGTGACCTTTATAATTTGCTGTTCGATAGTGGAGTTTACCTTCCTTTAAATACTTGAAATGAAATTGGAGAGGGAACAAGTTTTCCTGAAAAAAAATCACCATTATAAGAGTCTTCACTACGTTCCTTGAGTCTCAAGTGATTAAAAGAAAATAACATCAATTCAAAGCTATTTCAAATTGAAAATTATTTTGTGCTTGGTACTTTTTTCTTACCAAATTCAAAAAAAAATTAACCATAAAAATAGACGAATTAGAGAAAACTGGGTCTGTGCGTAATTTTTTTATTCGCTAGGAACTCTGAAGAAAATACACTTTCGAAACTAATTTCTTAAGTTACATGAATGAATCAACTTAAACAAGACTGCTCGTATATCAATAAAAAGCCATGAATGTTCCGACTGTCCCTTAACCCATATCGAAAGATTTTTCGGAAAAGAAAATATTCAGAAACTATATACTTTAGTCATTATCAAAGGTCCAGAGTAAAAATTTGAGTGATACGAAACTAATACGACTAATTACCTTGTCTCAGTTTAATTTGGAACAATTTTGTTGTGCGGGAAAATTCGCCACGTGTAAATAACTCGCGTTACGCTTTCAGCAATGAAGAAAATCTTCGAAAACGCATAAATTAGTCCAGAGCATGGCCAAATTGTCAAATATCTTTCGATATCATCAATAGGCTTAAAAAATCGATATCTTAAATGGGCCTTAAAAATTTCGTTTAAAACTATTTCGACCACCGAAAATTGACTGATTAAAAAAAACACACCGAGCATAAATATTCCGTTTTCTTCGAAAGTCAGAACAAAAATTAAACACATAGCAAAGCGACATGAAGAGTCTTAATTTTTTCCGCTAGTAGCATGCTATTCCCAACTGACAGTTAGAGACAATCCACTGACAGCGTAAAACATTCGAAAAAAATATATCAACGGAATATAGAGCGGAAGCGGAACGTGATTTCTTTTTAGTAAATAAGTTAAGAAGAACTTTTAAAAAAGTATCTTCACTAAGTTCATTAACACTTGTTAAAGTGTAAAGTGTAACAACATTGATGTTTAACTCTCGTTTGTGATTTGCAGTTTTAGCCAATTTCAATGTATTTTACAAAATCTGTAGCAGTGCTTGGGGTGACATGAGCCACAAACCACAATGAACTATCCGACATGTATCTGATGAAATCGATTTTCCATTTCAAATTTGACACAGAGGCGATGCAACGTTTTCACAAACACAAGCACAAACGGCAAAAACTAGCTCTCAAAGATTCCAAAAGTGAAAAAAGCAAAGAACATAGCTAACAGGCAGTTGGAAAAGAGTCAATGAATGCCAAGAAACAGAAAAAACTGACTGATTTTTAAAAAAATTCAGCTTTCGAATTTCATAGTAAAAAATATATGACTTTAAAGCTCTTTGAATTTCTAAAGCAATTAATGATTTGAAGCTGTTTGAATTTCAAGAACAACTTATGACTGACAGTTTGATAAAATCAACTCAGTGTGAGAAAACTGGATGAATAGAGGAAGTTTCTATTCCGCTTGGATATCTAAAAATTAAATTCGACTTTAATTTCGCGGCTTTTACATTTTTGCTGTTCAGTTGTGGATTTTTATTCCTTTCAACCAAGGAAATGGACTGAATATTAAAAAACTCCGACGTTAAATCGCTAAAAATCAAAATTCAACGTGAAACAAATTTAATGACTTTTTCCTGAAAAAAAATCACCAAGACCTTTATATGAGTATGAATCTTACTAAACACAGAGGCGAAGCAGCACTTCGTAAACACACGCGAGAAAACTACAAATTCATAATTAACCTCAGAAAACTACTCATCACACCATAAATTGGGTTGGATAGGAAACTAAAAGAGCCCGAAATACAATTAGTTTGGTGAATTTTGTGATCTTCGTGAAAACGAAACCTATTTTTTAAATTCAAAATCAATCACGGTGTTCTCACCAATTCACCTTTTACATTCAAAAACCAGCTGGGCTCAAGGCGCTCTTTCATTTAAAACACCGCGTCGAGACAATTCAGCCGATTTGAAATTCAATTCAAAGTATGCAGAGAATTCAGCCTAAGACAATTCAACCAATAATGGTGACCGCCGCAGTCGCGCCAACGTGTTGCGAGCTTGCCAACAGAGGTGTTGCGACCTTAAACCAAGAAATAACTCCAATTCCAATGCCTGTATATTTCTGGCTGAATTGTCTGAATTTCAAATTGGCTGAATTGTCTTTGGCCGAATTTTCTGTGCGCCTTAAAACACAATATTTCACGACAGACAATGATTTTAATTGCAGTGTCATTCGTATCAGACTCATATTTGAATTTAGGAATGAAAGCACGAGATTGGGGTTGGGGCATAGAATTGGAAAAGCACACAGTATAAAAGTCATCAGTTTTCTACGCATGTAAATTTGATTTTTTTTGGCTCTTCAATTTAACATGGTGAAAGTGACAGTGATTTTTCTTGCGAATTTTGGAGCATATGTCAATCTTTCATAGCATAGTCAATTTGACCATTTTAAATTTTTACAAACAGAACGCATGAAAACACGATCTCTAATTTCAAATGTTTTGAAAGACATGTAGCCTTAACATGACAGGTTTAGACACGCTGCTTTGATTTATAAGCATTATTTTCTGTTCAAAGTACATGGACACGAGCAAATAGATTAAACTGCCTTTAATAGCAGTAGTGTTGGTAAGATTACCAGTATAATTATTGGCAGTCGATATAGCCGTTTCAGAGAGAAGCTGCCAATTGATGACCTACTTATCCATTTCCTAAACCTAACTGTAAAAGTTGAACTGCAATTGCTGTCGGGAAAGTTAAATCAACTTCTAACTGACAGTCCTCTACATATTGACCGAGAATTTAACCAGTTCGAACTGATCATTCTATTGTTCTAACTTTGCCCCACGTTTGAATCAAAATTTACATACTATAGTTTACAAATGACAGCACATTAGTCAGAGAAATAATTTCTGCAATGAGGATCAATTTCAACGACTAAACTGCTCTATCGAAAAATGAGTGTATTTAATGAAGACAGTATTGCTTCATTGGTCTTCTTTATTGTTGCTTCATTCGTAGAACCTGCAATGTTCGAGATAGTTGAAGAAATTGTTCACTTGTCTGTTTTCTGGCAGTACTTTTCCCAGGAACTCTAGCAGCAATCTCTCCTTCTCACAAGAGGATTTGTAGTCGTCAAAGCCAACTTTCGTATCCTGCAAAAAAGTGACAGTAAAGGGCTTATATTAGCCTTATATATAGTAATATATAGTTTATATACGTAAATGGCTTAAAATGGAAAAATTTTGATCGTATTGTTTCGCCATTTTTCGAAGAAAATGACGGAATATTTGCTCATGGTTTTGTTCTCCCGACAAACTTCGACTTTTCAATAAGCAAATTTTGACAATTTTTTTTATATCACTCGAAAAGCATTGTTGTCCTGAGCTCAATTTAAAAAAAAATAATTCACCAGTGATCATTTTTCGTTAAATTAGGGTTTAAAGATAACCTATTTTGGATAATTAACGCGGAACATTTAACGTATTACCAAAGCATGAGAAAAGATAAACGGGTAAGCGAATCCATCTAAGAAATAGTTTCAAATTGGATTGAGGCATGCTCTATTGTCTATTTAATACTTTGCTAGATGCGAAATATATCACTTCGTACTTTACAAAGCGTGTGAGATGATTCCATCGAAATTAAAATACAGTAGGAACATTCAGGGCTTTGCCCTGAGACGAGCAAACTTCTATTAGAACTAAAGCAGCAAACTAAACGCCATAAAAACAAGTAAGAAAGAAATGACATTGTTAATTTCGAAAATTTCATCAATTATTCTAATTCAAATCACTCCATAAATATTAAACTAAAATCGGAACATTCAGGACTTTGCCTTGATACGAGCAGTCATGTATCAGAACTAAAAAAAAACGAACTAAACGCCATAAAAATAGAGGACAATCTGCACTTAGCAAACACAGACAAAATGGTAAAATTGAGCCTCAGAATTGCAATATATTTCATATTGCAATATATTTCACACAAAGGCGAAGCTTCAGCTTCTCAAACACAAGAGCTAAATCCGCAAAATAATCATGAGCTTGGAAACTACAAAAAAAACTTTGCATGTATTAATTTGGAATGTAATAACCTAAAGTCAACCACACTAAATTTGCATGCAATAAATTGGAAAGAGAAAAGCCAAGTTTTGCATATTTTATGCTTTTCAAAAATTTCGCGAAAAATAAACAGTTTCGCGAAAAAACTTTTGAAAAAATCTTATAATTGTACGGTCGAAAAAAAAAACAAATAGCTTTTTTTGCTGCAATCGATGAATCAAAAAGTCGATGAATCAAATCGATGAATCATTACAAGTGTTATCTCGTTACAAATGAAATGCCATAGCACATGGCATTATACTGCCAAAGCAGCCTCCTGATTCTAACTTACCACCAGAAACAGCGGTTTTATTTGCTGCTTTGGTTCGAAATTTAATTCGCATGCGCAAAAATGATTCATATTGCAAAAAATACATAATATTTTATATTCACAGGAAAAAAAACTGCAAATTAGATAATATTTTCCACTTCGAAATAGTTTAAGCACGATCCAGCTATTCTCTATAACATTCAATTTTCTTTGAAGATAACTTGACAACCTCAAGCTAAACAAAAGAAACTTGAGGAAAACAAGAAAAAACCGGAGTTTTTTGCACTCAGATAAAAAATATATTTCGAACTAATTTGATTAAGGCAAGCGATAAAACTTAGGACGGCTGTGTTCACTGCTTTCCCGTGACTAGAAAGAAAAAGATAACACGACAAAAAATTTCAAAAAGTTGTTCTACACAGAGGTGAAGCTTCAATTCGCAAAGACGGCAGAAAGCAGCTCTATTGAGTGGAATGAAAAAGTAGAAACAAGCCTCGAATTACTAAGAAATCGGATAGGCTACGGATTCGATCTGCGACCTAAATATTATGCATCTCACGCACTAACACCTCAGCCACGAACGCTTAATAACTCACAAACACTAGCCACAAGTAAAGCAGAGAACAGATGCTATGAAAATTCCCATGCTAGATCATGATTAAAGCAAAAGAGCCACCAAAAAGGTGAACACTTTTATTCGCGAGTTCGCTTAACAAAAAAGAAGGTTCGATTAATACACTACGCTGATTGCTAGAGTAAAAATTGTATATATAAAAATAGAGGATACGCACATCCTTGGATCAAACGAGTATAGGTATAATGAAGCCTTTTTAACTCAACATCGCAAAAAATTTCGCTAATGTAAAATTAAAAGGAAAAAGTAATAATTTTAAAAATTTTATCAGTGCTGTATAATAGTGCAATACTCACTTTGTCAATGTCCATTTTCTTGAGAACTGTTTCGATTAGGTCTTTCACACCCTCCTCCGGGTCATCCTCACCCAACTCCTGAGCTCCCCTATCCGCCAGACAACTCTTCAGCAGTGTAAACATCACGTCCCTGGAAAAACACTTTGCAGTAAACAAAAAAGCATTTTGGTGAAATTTTTTCAAGATGCTTACTGTAGTCACAATTGCTAAGGAAACTCAAGCAAGTTGAAGGTCAGAAAAAAGCCATAATCTACGTTGAAATAATGTTTTGAGGAAAATATATATTTTTAGTTGGTTTAAAGTTAGCCCCAACAACTCACCTTTAAATAATGAGCACAACTTAATCAACCGCTCGGAAAAAGGAAGATTTCAAACACCAGTGATAATGTAATTACAGCTAATACACACCTTGTGAGTGATCCCTCCAGTTTCATATCGTATGTCTTGAAGCAGAACTGCGACTGATCTGCAGTACTTCCCCTCAGAAAAACACTCATCCCCTTCACCCACTCATCTATAGTCAGAAACCCGTCCGAGTCAGTGTCGAACGTCTTGAACACCTGGTCCATCAAGATCGAATCGGTGAACTCAAAGTGCTCGATCAAGATATCTCTCAGCTTCATTTTATCCAACCTGTCCGTGCCTGGCTTGCAATTTGTCTGCATGAATTTGATCAGCAACTCGCATTCGTGGCTAGTCAGACTAGTCTCTTTACACAGCACCTCCGCTTTCTGATGTGCCTCACGTTTCTTCGTCGCAACAGAAACTGATCCCGGCATTTTCAATTGATACAACACTCAAATTCGACGACAATAACTAACTTATTAACCGCAATCGATAACCGATGGCCTATCTTCGTAATAATCCTGTGAGCTCAAGCTACAGCTAGAATAATGCTGGTGTTGCTAAGTATTAAACGTATGTTTTTGAATGTATTAGTTGAGTCAACGTTTAAATTAAAAAAATAAGCTATTTTATTTTTTGACCAAGTCTTACTTGAAGAGAACGTGCATAACTAAAATGAGATTTATACCACAAAATTAGAGCAATGCACAAAGACAAGTCACTCGTGGGAATGAAACAATCTCGGCGCCTCCAGTATCAACCTTAGTTTCCGACAAAAAAAAATGGAGCAATGGATTAGTTGTAGTCAAAAATAATATATGACGTCGTTGAAGACCCGAAACAATGAAAGACAATTAAGTATTATTACATAAACAAATTTAACAGCACCTGCCTAGTAAACCTTCAAACAAAGTACCTAATCAAAAGATCAAGCCTTTAAAAAGATCCAGCTCGAAAAGCTGCTGTAGAAAGCTTACTACCTTACCTCATTTCAGCCGACCTTTTCAAAATCTTGCGTCAATTAAAAAAAAAACATTCATTTGATGTTTATTTCACTTCTTAAGCTGGATCTTTGAGCAGTATCAGCCAAAAATAACTGCATTAAAACTGTGTAGAAAAACAGGACTGAGACTGAGAAGAAAAGAGGCCAAAAGTAGATATTTTCCAAAACTGAAAATTGAGCGATGCATTTCTATAACATAGGCATTTATTTGCTTTCCAAACTAGTAGAGTGGTATGTATTTGAGATGAGACTGGCCTGTTGTGCGGAAGGGCAGAATGACTTCCCGGTGAGGGCGATGACGATGTAGGCGTTCTTGTTCAGGAACTTGAGCACCTTCTCCAGACACCAGAGAAAACACTGCATGCACTTCAGAACCGCCTTGGCCGCCGCATTCTCTGTCCCCTTGAGTCTAAACCAAGATGGATGCTAGTAATTCAAACTTTTATTATTCTCTTATTAGTCAAATCAAACTTTTATTAGTAAAATTTATTATTATTCTCGCAGAAAAAAAATCCTGCATTAACTTCCTTTCAATAGTTATTTAGTGTCGAAGTGGAGCTTCGGAACAATTGCGATACAACAAACAGTATTGCAACCTAATAGACAAAAATGAATCAAAAGCTAATAGTCAAAGAAGTTATTTATAACAGAGGCGAAGCGGAGTTTAGCATCACTTGCGACGCAAAAATATATGCCAGTGGTTTTCAGATGTGAAAAATTGACAGCCAAATTTTTCAAAAATTTCGAAATTTTAAGGAGCCGCAATTGCTTATACCTACTAGAAAATTCATGCTGTGGCGACTAGGCCGACAAAAAATAAGAAAATACACACACACCAACTTTTTTCTAGAAAAAATAATTTCAAAACGAACAATTCTAGTTCGAATTCGCAACCTTGACCTCCTTAGTTCCAACGAGTCACACGCCCGGGTACTTAACAATATTCAAACTCTAGCCATCAATAAACTGATAAAAAGATATTATGCTATCATCAAAGGTAAACCAGATATATGATTGCTGCAAAAAATGCGAACAAATAGATTAGTTATTTTTATAGCGACTTGGAAGGGAAAGAACCATGCATTTTGTAATATGACACTACGCTGCACATGTGTAATAAATCAAGCCATCAGAAAAATCAGTGATTCTGTTAAACAATATTTACAGCAAAAAGGTCATGTTGCAATTCATACATTCATCAAATAGACAACATTTTCAAAAAAATCTCAAGAAACACAAAAACCGTCGTTAAATAAGCAGTCATAATCATTTTAAAAGCGGTAACTGAGCGGATAATAGGTGGGTAGACGCCAATTGAGCCAAAAACAAACTGTCACTTTTTACTGCAAAACTACTACAAAAATAAGGCAGAGAAAATTCAAAGCCTTTGTTCTTTCACTTGAACCCATTATCTCAGATTGAACCCATTATCTCACAGGACTTTTTAAGCCCAAAACTTTTTTCTCAGATTTAGAAGAAAAGTCTCCAAGAAAATTCAAAGGTTCGAAAAACCGGCTAAAACTTGGACATTTTCTGAGCCCATACTCTTTTTCTACAAAAATTAGGGCGTAATCATCTTATGAAAAGGAGAAACTAAAACGTGATCTATCGATTCAACCCTCTATCTTGGATTTGACAAAGAAATTTTAGGGAAACCATTTGCAAAGCAGTAACTGAGCAGACAAAAAGGTTGAAAGACGCCAGTTGAGCCAAAAACAAAATGTCACTTCTTAGTGCAAAACTACTACAAAAATAAGGCAGTGAAAATTCAAAGCCTTTGTTCTTTCACTTGAACCCATTATCTCAGATTGAACCCATTATCTCACAGGACTTTTTAAGCCCAAAACTTTTTTCTCAGATTTAGAAGAAAAGTCTCCAAGAAAAATCAAAGTTTCGAAAAACCGGCTAAAATTTAGACATTTTGTGACCCATACTTTTTTTCTACAAAAATTAGGGCGTAATCAGCTTATGCAAAGGAGAAACCAAAAAGTGAGCTATCGATTGAACCCAATATCTTGGATTTGACAAGGAAAATTTAGGTTAAACATGCAAATTTATTATGCTTAAACATGGGAGATCGCTGTCACTCGCATTTAAACATATAGATTCAGCCAGTAGTTTTCGAGAAGAGTGACAAAATTTCTAAAACAGTTATAATTAAAAAGAAATATATCAGAAGCCCATAGTATTACAGACTACGAAATCAAAATCGAAGCACCATGTTTGTTTTATGAAGTAGCAACCTCAGAATCAGCAGGTTAGTTTTTAACATTTTCTATGACCAATTTTGTTTTTCAAAACGCATAGCAAAGCAGCTTGCGCAGCTAAAATTCGCGAAACTGATTTTGCTTTCGGTTAAACCCTCAATCTACGATTTAGACGGGTAGTTTTTGAGAACAGTAAAAAAAATTAAAATTAACTACTAAAGTGTCAAAAAACGGGCTTGTTTAAGGCCATTCTTTTTTTTCTACCGAATTTACGGAATCGCCGTTTCAGAAAGGGAGTTCCATGGTTTGTTCTTCTGATTGCAACCGTCATCTCAAACTTGTGCATTTAATATTTGCAATTTTGTTGCTTTAAGTCGTAACAAAAGTCGCAGCAATATTTGCGATTTGGTTTGAAAAAAAAAAGAAAGTTCGTACTAGAAACACTTCGCTTCGCAAGTGTAAGCAAATAGGCCAAAAATCCCCTACTGAAACTTTTGAAGACCGTAGAACGTGAGATAAAATGAAAAGAGACTAGCCAAACGAGCAAGCACATAGACGAGCAGCCGGTTTTTCCAATGGCACCTTTTTTTTGAAAATCAGTGAAGTCGTTTTTTAGAAAAATTGAAATTTCTGCGAAAAGTGCTTGGCACAAAATTTTCAAAAGCTTGGCAAAAAAACGAAAAACAACAAATCCCATACATTGTCATAATACATGTTTTTTTTCGAACAGGACCCAACAATAGCCAAAAACAAAGCAGCAACATATGCCATGAAAATGTTTATGCTTCAATAAGTTTGAAAATGATTAAATTGAAATATACCAAAAGTCCCACCGAATGAGCACTTGTATTTGCAATCTAGGTGAGAAAAAATTCTTCATAATAATAAACTACGCTTCGTTGTGTAATAGTTCATAATTTTTTCATGAAATTAACCCAGTTTGAGAAAACTGGATCAATATGTTAACATTGTAATTTGCTAGGAAACTGATGATTAAATTCCATTTTCGAAGTTAGAAGTCGCTCATGTTTACCGTGACCTTTACACTTTTACTGTTCCATAGTAGAAACCGCCTTCCTTTTAACAAAAAATGAACTGAACTTGAAAAGAAATCACAAGTCAAACCGCGAAAAATCAAAATTAAGACGTAGATGGAACAAAAATTGCAAAGCAGTATTAGACAACACTGCGCATGTGTAATAAAGGTTATATAAAATTATACATCATTAGCAGGTACAATGTGTGGCAGCTGACTACTCACTTCTTGTCGATGTACATGAGGATCATTCTGGGTATCTTGACGAGGGTGATGATGAAGGAGCCCAATGCAATAGAGCCCATGTGGTTCTTCATCAGACACACGATGCCCTTGATGATAGGACACGACAGATTGCTCTTGTCCTCGAAGTTGTACCACTGCAATAAAAAAAAACCATTGTATTCATCGTCACGAAGACGGTGCCAATAGTAAAATCCAATAGAAATCATGAAGGCATTTCTGGTTCAACCGGTTTAAGCGTTGTGTCACTTAACCTTATCATCGCTTTAATTAAACAATTTGGAATTGATATCAGAAGCCTTGATTAAATGGTAGTTCGGAGTCAATCTTTTACACCTAACTCATGGTGGCAATTTATAAGTATCAACTCCTCTTAACTAGCCAAAAGTTGAAGCGGTTTATGACGAACTGAATGGGATCCCAAAAATTAAGCATTTCGCAACTACAAACCTCAAACTAAAGTCAATATTTTTTTCAGTAAACCTTCGCTCATTTTACTGTTCGTGCCTTTTGGTTATAATATACTCCTTTCAACTTCGATTGTATGAATATCAAGGTTGGCAGGAAACTGTTTTTATTGTTGAACCAAAATATTTAGAATGTTTTAGCAAAAAAAATGTTGCAAGACACATTTTTTGATATTGAAACAAAACGTTTAATAACTTTTTAAAAATACTTTCACACGTATTTTCTGATATTTTTGTTTATCTAATTTCCACCCGAAACTACAAAAAAATATACAAAAAAAACTAGGTGAAATTAAAAATCTAGAAAAGATATTAAGTTAAAAACATGTTTGTTTCTTGTCGGCCCTGATAAGTTATGATTTCTATGTAAATTAAATCAGGGGCTACCTTAGCAGTAGCGAATGCAATGACGAACTGGTGAGCAGCGAGGATGAACTCCATGCCCCAGATGAGGGCGACGAGCATGTACCACCAGAAGTATCTCACATACGCCTCCGCCGGCTCATACCGCACAAACAGGTGCGCCTCAATCGTTGTCTTCTCTAAACAGCAAGACACACAATATAGAAAAACACTTTTTCATAAACACTATCAACATTTACAGACATTAGATCATTGTTTTATAAGCTTTGCGGAAGTAGTTGATTAGCAAATGTATAAAGTTTGAGATGATTCGCATTAAATTCAAAGGCAACCTTTCCGATTTTCTTGACATTCACGTCTTTTTTGAGCGTTCAGAGATTGATCTCGCGTTTGATTTTTGGGAAATAACAATCTTCTAATTTAACTTAAAATGGTAACCTGCAGTGGCGACGAACACAGTGACGAACAGCCAGTAGGCAAAGAAGAGGGAGAGAACTATGAAGGTGAGCACGGGGGTGAAGAGGATGAAGGGTATGGCCTGCACTACCCTGGATGCCTCCTCGAACAACTTCACCACCACCTTCATCCGAGGGAACATCACCACCAAGATAAGAAGAACGATCGCCTTGAAAAATATACCAATGATGATTCAGCACAACAACAGAAACCATTAAAATTTGGAATGACCGTTAAAATATTTCGCCATTTCCAAGAAAATACTTGAAACAAAAAACAATCAAAACTCAAACCGCGATAAAGTAAATTTGAGCCTGAACAAATTTTAAGACTTTTCCTGAAAAAAATCATCACGACCTAAATAAGAGTCTGAACTACGTTCATCGAGTCTTAAAAATAAAGTCCATTTTTGCCACTAAAAGTCATTCACGTTCTTCAGCGCCATTTGCACTTATGTCATTGTAGAGCGTAGCGCGACTTGAATTGAATTTAAAAATCAAAATTCAAACCGCGAAAAATCAAAAAAGGAGCGTTAACAAAATTGAATTTTTACAGTAAAACCAAAGAAAAAAGCAAACAACCTAAATAGGCGTTTCACTACGTTCATGGATATTGAATAACTGACCATGACAATAGAGACTGCGATTGCGAGATAGAGGAAGTAGTCCACTTGGTTCTCCATGCTGCTCAGTCTGTCGTCCTCCGGAATCGCCTGCAACTTCTTGTACTCCATCACAAACACATACCACACAGCCGCAATCGACAGAATAGCGCCCACAATGAACAGCACTGTGGACACGTAGATCAGGAATCTCGCCAGGAACCGCACGAACAGTGTCATCAGAGCAGCGATCACTGAAACAAAGCTGCGGTTATCCATTCAATACTGAGATATAACGCTGAGATCTGATGAAGCTATGAATTTTTAGTTATGACTCCATTCATCTTAAATTTAACACAGGCTTCGCGAACTAACACAGAAAATTCCATAAATCTGCAGATTGTCCAAAAGACACAAGTTGCACACAAAAAAAAGATATAAAAAGTCGAAAAAAAACAAAAGTCATTAAAAAACTAGACGCACCAAAATTTTTGTATGTCACGTTTTAATAGGAATACCTAACACGACAACAGCAAATCTTCGAGCAGGAGCTTGATCAGTAGTTTACCTAAGAGTCGAAAAACATTTTAAACAGAGCATTTTTACCACAAACAACAAATATAACAAGGCAGACAGACAGCCCGAAAATAAGACGAGGCCGCGAAAAATTGTAACAAAAAAGTCGAAATGCGAAACTGTCATAAAAATTTCGACAAAAATTCAAATACGCTAATAATACATCATTTAAACGCTGTAGTTGAAAGAAATGATTTAACTAACCAATTGACAACAAACACATGCCAGTAATCTGCTTCCAGGAGTTCACAACGTCTGCAAAAGCGTATTCAAGCCAAGTCATCTTCTCAAAATGCGTTACCACCACTGAGAGCGCATCCTTTACGTCTGGAATGCATCGGCGAAGAATGGTATGACTGAAATGATGCTTTTAAATAACATATCAACCATGGCTATGCGCATCAGAAAAACTTACAGATATTAAAACATACAGGAATCATCTCAATTAACTCTTGTGGTTCAAGTACCTTTTGTAGATTAAACCAGGACACCTATGTAGATCCATTTGTTTCATATATTCCGCGTCGTCGTCAACTGTGAGGTTGTACTGACAATACAAGTCACTCTTCTCCACCATCTCATCTATATTATCCACAACCGTCAGATCCTCATCAGGACACTCCTCTACACACCGTGCAGTGTAGCCCAAATCATAGCCGGTAAATTCGTTTTTGAAGAGCATGAAGAACACGCTCCTGTTAAAAACAAAATATTGATTACAATCCAATACTACAATCAGGGCTGCGCAAAAATTCATTGCAATTAATTGACCTTATATTGAATTGCTAATGCAATAATTCAACATTCGAAGCTACAACCAATAATTGGACCCAATTATTGCAATAATTTTAAGAAGGAAAAAATCTAAATTGATCAAATTTCCTGGACATCAAACTAAAACATATCCCGCAGCACTGAAAAATCTTTAAATAACGTTCGCCCTAAGCTGAAGAAACTCGCAGCTGATACACTTCGAACTTTCAAGATTTTCCGTTTTTGATGTTGTTAGTTGCCCACAGAGGGCGCGTCATGCGAGCTTGGGACGAGTCTAAGGAACATCGCTACTTCAGCCGGCCGTAGCCACAGGTCTATTGGGGTCAATTCAGTCGGGTTTATGAGGCAGTTAAACAGGTGGAGGGTAGTAGGCGGACACGGACAGAGGGGAGTTTGGGGGGACATTGGGTTCTATTCTAATAAGATAGGTATTAAAAATGGGTAGTAACCGGAAGAACTTTCAGGGTGGGAGCGTCACTGATTGCATTTGTTACGTGGCTTGAATTCATTTTGAAAGTCGTTTGAAATTAATAAAATGAAGTTGCTTCGGCCAGTGTTATCGTTATAAGTGGTAAAAACGCTTCTATTAGAGATTATTTGGTCGAGTTTAACTTTAAAAATTGACTTAAAGTTAGGTTTGATTGGTCTGGGAGGGCAAGGGAACCTGAGATAGAAATGAAGGGGATATAATTGAAACAAATTCAGAAAAAAAATTGGGTGGATAGAAATCTATGGCGCAGTTGCACGGATATTAGTTAGCATTCAGTGTCAGAGATCAATGGAGCTCATCTTTGTGCACGCTCTCACAGTACGAAGAGCTGCAGTTTGGACGACCTGTAGTTTGTTCAGGGAGGTACTGCTTGCAGCGTAGGACCAAATTGGGCAGAAGAAATCGAGCATTGGCCAGATCAAAGATTTGAACGTTACAAGCAATGTTTCTTTGGATTGTCCCCAGCTCGTCCCGGAGAGATCCCTCAAGATCGATACACTGCGCGCGGTTTTTATGGCAGTTTGTTTACAATGCTCCGCAAAGATGAGGGACGGGTCGGAATACACTTGGGTCTTTTTTCGACCGGGTGAACCTAAGAGTTCATTGAGACATTTGGCTTAGAGTTGAGCTCTTTGTTGTGGGAGCTGAACTAGCTGACTAACCATTTCGAGGAAGAAAGCACTAGGTTTCGGTTCGTAAAAAACTCATGGAGCTCGTTTAAGTAATTTTTCAACTACCGGACGCCTTGACGATACTTCGGGATGCCTTAGAGGAGCCTCATGTGAAAAAAAAGGAAAGTACTGAGCCTTGAGGATCCCTATACGGGCGATCCTAGTTGCCGATAACTTATTTCAGAGTGGAGTCCAGGCTTGGCGCCCGCTAAGGTAATTTGAGAGCCATCTGACAATCTCTTCAGGTAAGCTAAAGCTAACCAGTGGTTTGACTGGAGTGCGGTGGCATATCATATCGAAGGTTTTCGACAAGTCAAGAGTGGCAAGTAATATTCGTTTTGTGGGTCTCTTTTGGTTAAAACCAACTGCTACAAAAAATCGTTTGTAGACTGGGCTGCAGTAATTGTGTGGAAAGGTCTCAAACCGTGTTGGAAGGGGGGCTTTTGATAGATGAGCGGCGAGTTTGAGATGCAGCAGGGCTGCTTCATAAGTGTAAACACTGGATTGAGAATCGCTACCAGACTATAAGATTCTGATGATTTAAAATGTTTATTGGGTTTGGGTAGAGGAACAACTAGCCTTTTTCTAGACTTCGGGAATTACATTATAAGCTAGGGAGAGACCAAAAGCATGAGAAAGAAACTAAATTGTAATTTGCCCTAAATATGATACTGGAACAGTCATGACCTAGCCCTCTGGAGGGTTTAGCGGACTTGATGACTGTTGTCGTATCTATTAGATAGAATTTAACTTGATTTTCTTGGCTAAATTATAAAAAATTTCGTTAACTTCTCTCTTCTCCTTGTTTGATTGATGTTTTCTTAAATGTGTATTTTAGATATTAAAAGCGTTTGAAAATGTCTCTGGCTGTAAAAACTTTTGTGCCATTAATAAAATGATTGGGCGGTTTCCTGTCACAGAATTCGCTCCGTTTATGGAGCGAACCACTTTCCAGATTTTGCTTGAATCCGTGCGGTGACTGAACCTCTGGAGGAAGTCTCGCCAATAATTTTCTTTGCTCTTACCAGGGACCCAAGAAACATCTGGACCCTTTCTGTTTTTGTTACGCAGCAGTGGCAAAAGTCATCTTTACCGACAGTTTCTATTTCTTCCGCATCTACTACTAAGCGGCGCATCTTTGTCTTTGATGCCGTGGTGACCTTTGAGATGAATGTAAAGGTTTGACTATCCATCTCCTTTCTCTTGTAATTTTTTTCCTCACTGGCATATCCATTGATCTTTCACTTCTGCTTTTTCCAAAAATTTCTTCCAAACTTCCAAATTTGAACAAAAATTTCTTCCACACTTGTACTTTCTGAACCACCAGGTATTGCAAAGAATTGGCAAGTGCCAATGCAATATTACTTACCGAAATCAAGTATCAATGATTGTTTTCTCTATTGCAATGAAATGTTTATTCAATAACTTATTGCCCAGCCCTGACTACAACTGAATATCCTCAATTAATCAATAAGGAAAGTTAAAGATTCTAACGGTCGTTTCGTCATATCTTGTCCGGAAAGTGGGGCACCGGCTATTTTCTCATTTTCCACACCGCATATATTTCCGTAATCATCAAAACCATACACCAGGCGTCTCCAATCGCCTTGTTTATGTGAAATCAGGCCGATAACTACCTAAAACCACATTTCATTTGACATCTTTGATCTGTTTGTTTCAAATTTCTGAGTAATCTATATTTCAAATGATTTAAATCTACATGGTTAAGCTGTTGTTGTGAAAAAAAAATCATTGACTCATGCTTTAACATTTTTACCGTGCCAGCCATAAAAAGAACGAGTAGAATCAAGAACAGGACATCTGTGCAGGATCGTTTTGTCGCCCTTTTGAATGTAGCCCGATCAATATGGCCCTAAATGTATCTCCGAAATAAAAAGAATTCAGTAATTTTGTAAGTCAGATTTCAGTTCAACTCACGTCTGTGAAGCATTCACAGCAGCAACTTAGGAATCCCATTGTCTGGAAGTTAGCAAATTATTTATCTGAAACATAACACTTTATTTGCCAGTTAAAAAAATCTTCATGTGTAGGCAATACTGTTTCATTTCAATTATGGTCATTAATGCTGAGTCCGCTTCAAGTTGGTGTTGGTGTCCGCAATGGAGCAGAAGCAGCGGCACATGCAGCTAGAATTTTTCTGAAGACAGCGGAAGATGACGAAGTTTTTCTCAAAATCGATTTTAAAAATGCATTCAGCACAGTTCGCCCTGATGTTATTCTAGAAACTGTCCCCAAAAACTACCAGAACTATTGCCGCCGTTTGCTATAACTTGTTACGCCAGGTCAAGCTACTTGTTGTACGGCTCTGATTTTATCAAGTCCGAAGAAGGGTTTCAGCAAGGAGATCCAACTGCTTCGCTGTTGTTTTGCATTTGCATCCATCCTTTGCTTGAGAACATGAAAGCCAGGTTTGAGGTTGCGTAATCAGAAGGTCAAAAGTATCAGAGTAAACGAGGTTACAGTCAGGAGTCCCTTCATCACGTATTCCAGTCAAAATCCTTGAAATTTTCTAGATATGGAATGATAATGATAAAAGAAGATGTCCTTTTCAAGTCCTTTTCAATTAAAATCGATTTCAAGTTTTGAAGTCCTTTTCAATTAAAATCGATACGGTTTAGGTTGCCGTTTGCTATAACTTGACAATATTTCTGGAGATCATTTCTCGAACTTGCTTGAAGATCTTGTCAATATCGAAGATTCCGCTAAAAAGATCGGACTATGCCTCAATGACGATAAATGCGAAGTTACTGTTTTTGGCCCTAACCAAGATGCTGTTTCTGAGCGTTTTCCAGAAATTCCTCGGATCAAGTTGGTATCAGTAGAAAACACTGTTCAGCTTGGACCTCCGCTGGGCACAAAATCACTCGCTACAGATATCAGTTCAAAACAGTCATGTAACAGTCGCCTACTTCGGTCACATATGAGGTTAAAGAAAAATAGGCCCTAAAACCATTGGCTCAAGAGTCAGGGACACTATCTCTTGTGTTTTTCTACCTCGAACGGTCGGAGCCAATTCGGTTCACTGTGCCATTCAGCCAGATTGGCACAGCGCAACCTTCCGACGAAGCACGAATTAGAGAGAAAAGGCCTTAACAGCGAAAAAGTGCTTGAAAGGAGGGTCGAAATATTCTGGAAGTTTCAATTTTTCAAAATTTCGATTGTCAAGTGAGTATTTCTCAGAAATACGAAAAACGGCCATTTTGACCGAAAAAGTTGAGAAAAACAGAACAACACCAAATAGAGTAGAAAACAGTCACACGAGAACGATAGAAAAACGAAGCCTCTTATCGTGACAGTCACGCACGATAAGATCCTTAGTGAAAGAAGATAGTGGGAAAGGAGGCTTCGGTGGTGGAGAGCAGTACCCTCCCGTGCCACGAAATGGGAGTGATAACAACGTTATCACGAGGAGAACACGGAAGCGGAGGCTTGGTCCACCAGAGACTAATATATGGTGAAAGACTGTAGTAAACTAATTTTTTAGCTACTCTGATGCCATAGAACTTTGAATTGACACCGGTATTGTTTGATATTTTAGGAGGGTACAGGACTTTATCCTCCACGGTAATTATCCTCCAGGCGATATCCTCCATGGCGGATAAAGTCCTCCGAGGGACTTTATCCGCCAAATGTCGGAGGATAAAGACGCTGAATCTAAAAATCATAGTTTCAGACCACTGAGGGTAACTTTTTAACTAATATTTTTTTGAAAATAGGTTGTAAAGGCTTTTGTGAGGTGAGTGATCAGAATCTGGTACTAAAATGATGAGATTAAGGGATAGAATATATTATCAAATTGGAATGTATTAGAAGAAAGTATCGTTAAAACAGAAGAATGAGGGCAATAATCAACAGCAAATTTACAAATTACTCGGACATCCAACAAGCCGTGAGCACCTACCATGCATGGTTCCGGCACTGATGTTGCCTTCAATGAAAGCATTCCAAACCTCGAAAAGAAGCTTTTGCTTCTCCACATAGCCTTTTCGGCTCTCCTGTACAGACAGGATCCGCAAATTAATTTCAACAAACTGTGCCTCATTGAAAAGTACCTGCACGAGAAAATAAAAATTTACATTCGGGTTCATGGCGCGCTTGTTGATGCGGTGGTGCCATGATTCAAGATCATTGTTTGTGCGAGTACCTTTCATGAACTGGCACCAGGTCTCAGGTGGAAACATTTTCGAGTCAATCCACTGCCTTCGGACGTACTCCATGAACGTTACGAGACGATTGTCGTTGAAGGTCTTTGCCTCTTGATTATTAAATAGTTTCAGATACTTGAAATGTTTACCGGGGTAGCAATGGTTGCCCCGCGATAAAATGTCCGACAGAAGATATCACTTGCTCAAGACATCATCTTCAAAAAATCTCCTGATTGCGGATTCTCAAGCACGCCATCTTGATTTTCCAAATTTCAATATCTTGTCCCTACCTGGGGCCCGAATTGGTGCGGTCCAAAACTTCTTACCCGAGAAAGACAAATTCAACATCATCGCTCTGCTCATCGGCGGAAACGACGCCTTCAACGGAAAAGACCCCTCCAGTATACCTGCAGGCGACATTGCTGAAGAACTGTCGAAGCTAGCCGAGGAGCTGTGTGAACGAGCCAAAAAAGTTTTCGTCATCGGAATCCCTCATCGTAGTGAGAACCGAGCTCGATCTGCAAAAATAAACGAATTCCTAAGAAAGATAAAAGGAACTTGGAAGTTTAGAGGAGTGAGTGAAAAAATCCACAGCTCATATCATTTGAAAACTGACGAAGTGCACCTCAGTGAAGAAGGTCTGAAGGGCATTAAAAGTATTCTCAAGAATAAAATCTTATACGATAAACATTCGAACATCTGCAATACAGAACGACATCTGGTATATTACGAGTGTCGTTTCAAGAACTGTCAGTGCCCCTATTAACGTAAGTAGAAATAGTGAACCGCAGGCCTCCCCTTTTCGGGAACCACCAGGTTTGTCTATTTCTTCTTTTTCCCCTGAGTGAGCCACAGGCCTCCCTTTTTCGGGAACCACCAGGTTTAACTGTTTTTCTATCCATATTATAAGCAAAAATGGGCAAAAACTGCAAAACATGTAAAAGAGGCTTTGCCGGCAACGAGAAAACATACACTTGTGTCGCATGCAACGCTCAAATGCATTTGGAACCAACTTGTGTTTGTCGACTGAATTTACTAATTGGAGGAAAACATCCAAATTCATAAAATTGGGGGAAAAAATGGAGGAAAAAGTCCCTGTTTGAGAAATGAGGATAATGGTGGAGGATATCGCCTGGAGGATAATGACCGTGGAGGATAAAGTCCGTTTCCCATTTTAGAATATGAGTAGCTAGGAAGAGGAAAGGGTCAATCCATCTCCAATGGATTTAATATATAACTGTCACCAAAAACATATTAAAATAGGGTATTCGAGCCGTTTTTAATAACAATCACGTAGTCTGAGGATCCGAGACTCAGCTATGTGGTTGTGTTCGCATGTAAACGAAAGCTGATCAAAAGTCGTTTGACTGATGGCCTAAAAATAGTAACTTCTTACTTAGCCCTAAACAGTCCAGAAAATCAACTGGCAAGGTCGAGACGGTGAAAAACGATTAGAATTAAGGTAACTGACGCCTGATAGTCGTTATTAGGTACTTTTTCTACGCTCCGTCGCTGTGTAGTATTTAAGCGAATGTTACATAGACCTTTTTATGGCGCTCCTGGGTGGGCCTGTTAAAGGCATGAGACCATCATGATCAGCAAACGTTTCAAAGACGAACCCTCCACTCCGGCCGTATGCCTGAGTTAGAGGCCTTAATGTCTTTTATTGTACCAAGGGAAGGTCTGTACCCTCCGCCTAGTACTATTTAGCTTTTTAACTTAGTTAACACCAAAAATTCCGGGGGCCGGAGGGTTAGGTGGGAAGTCATGAGCCGGCTTATCCCAAGGTCCCGGGACCAAAAACAATTAAAGAGAAAAAGTAAAACCAAACAAAAATAGTGTATAACCAAGAAAAAGCCAAAAATAAATTTATTTGAAAACAAAAAAGTACAAAAAACAGTAAAAAATCCAAAAAAGACCAAAACAATAAAAAACATAAAGTGACAGTTTATATGTTATTTCCGGACAAGATGTGATCTGACCTTCCTATTTGTTGTTGTTTCAGATTGATTTATATCATTTCTGATAGAAAGATTGTGTGTTTTGGTGACGGGTTGGGTCCCTCCCTTGAGTGTAATTTGAGTATTTAAGCACGTTAATGGTGATTTTGCCGGTGGCCGGAGGGTAGAGTGGCAAGCTGACCGATGTGTTCCACACTCAACAGGGGCATCAAGGACAACATCCACAACGACTGTTGGGTATCGTTGAAACAATTTCAGTATCATTCGGGTACTATTTCATCAAAACCTAAGAGGTGGGGGGCACGATTGGCGCGGTCCGATTGTACCCTCCGTCCATCACAATTTTCCGAGTTAAGGGTCTTAATTCGGGTATTTTGGTGCAAAGGAGGGTATAGTAATATTCATTAACGACTACTAATAGATTACTGTCCTCACTATATATTACTTATCTCCTATTTAGACCCGAGAAACACCCAAATTTTGTCAAAAATTACTGATTTTCGACCAAAATATAGACCCCAAATTTAAAAAAATCTTCATGTGTAGGCCTTACTGTTTCATTTCAATTATGGTCATTAATGCTGAGTCCACTTCAAGTTGGTGTTGGTGTCCGCAATGGAGCAGAAGCAGCGGCACATGCAGCTAGAATTTTTCTGAAGACAGCGGAAGATGACGAAGTTTTTTTCAAAATCGATTTTAAAAATGCATTCAGCACAGTTCGCCCTGATGTTATTCTAGAAACTGTATCCAAAAACTACCAGAACTATTGCCGTTTGCTATAACTTGTTACGCCAGGTCAAGCTACTTGTTGTACGGCTCTGATTTTATCAAGTCTGAAGAAGGGTTTCAGCAAGGAGATCCAACTGCTTCGCTATTGTTTTGCATTTGCATCCA